GTGAATGCCTTGAGTTGCTAAACCAAACCCAGGACAAGGACTGAGAGAGACACTCAAGCCAGGCCCCAGAGCTGGGTGTTCCTTACAGGAACGCTTTCAGATCTCTTAAGTCCCGTCTTGTCCACAGTACTGAAGCACTGGGGACTTCCTGCCACTTGCTCAGAGGCAGAAGATCTACTGAGCGCTGTTCCCAGCACAGCACCGGGCACAGTGGCAGGAAGGAAAGGCCTTTGGCTGAGTCCTGACATCTGGCAGCTGCGAAGGGCCAACCCGGACTCCTCCCAAAACCTGTGGGTTGCTTCAGGAGAAGTCAGCATGCCCTGGGGAAATTCTCACCTATATATACCTGATTGCAATTTAAAAAATATTAAAAAGACCAGAACTCCCCAGCATTTCTTCTTCTCCTTTTCCAGTTCTGGGTTGGATTTTATAAATTCCAAGGATGTTTAGAGAATGGAAGAAGCTTCAGGGATGGGTGGAGCTGCCTAATCCATTGCAAATCCATTGTTACTGAAATCAGTTTGAAAAGCTCCACAAGCAAAAGTCCTCAAAGTACTTAAATGTCCCTTTCCCACTTTTTTCACTTTCCAGGTGACCTTGTACAAGGGCTCTGACATGGAGGACTTCGGGTTCAGTGTAGCAGACGGCCTGCTGGAGAAAGGAGTCTACGTCAAAAACATTCGCCCAGCTGGGCCAGGAGATCTTGGTGGCTTAAAGCCCTATGACAGGCTCTTACAGGTAAGACCTCAGATGGAATTTTAATTAACTCTTCAGTCTTATTCAACCAGTGCCTGTTGTGGGACACAGCGGGACCACCTGGGACGTGGTGACCTGGGTCTGACAAAGAATTTACCAGAGACTAAGTGTAAGAATAGAAGGGTTTATTAGGGTATGCTGCCATAGACAGTAGCAGGCCACGCCGACGGGAGATGGCTGTGTGAGTGCCGGGGCAAGGGACGCGGGGAAAGGTTACCAGTTACGCTGCCACAGACAGCAGCGGGCCACACAGGCCAGGGGCAGCTGTGTGAGCACCGAGGGCCAGGTGTTAGGGCGTTTTATTTATAAGGTCAAGCCCCAAGGTGCCTGATCGGCTTGGGCACAAGTCTGTCGACTGAAATAAATGCACAACCTAAAAAGTTGAGTTATGTTTTATTCGGTGGACATTTCTGAGGACTGGAACCGCTTCGAGCCCAGGATGACAGCCTCTCAGATGGCTCTGAGGGGCTGCTGCGAAGAGGCAGGGGAGGAGCCAGGATATACAGGAGCTTTACAACAAAGACCAGGTCAGTGGAAGTTAAAAGATTACTTGTTAACTAAAGAAAACCAGGCATCTCAAGTTAAAGAATTTAGCGCTTTTCCATGTCTGGGAGGAAGCAAACATTTGGGTTCATTGAATTTATTCCTTTGACAAGCACCTTGCTATCCAGGGCCAGTATCTATTCTGAGTCCCCTCAGAGGGCGCCACTGTGAGCGGCTGCAGAGGCCGGGCTGCAGGCTTGCCTTCACTGGGGGGTGGCGGCGGCTGCTGATGGTTTCAGCTTTCTTTGTTTACTGATAGGGTTGCTCCCCCTTGGCCCTAAATTCGACCAATATTTTGGGAGACATTTCGTGACCCATTTTGCCCCTGGGCACTAGGAAGGCTCGTTCCTCCGTCAGGCGGAGACTGTGGTGACGCGCCACTCAAAGTGCTGGTTGTTGGGCCAGGATTGTCTGGATCGCCTGTCTCACCAGTCTGTTATGATCCAGGCAATGTTTCCCCTTGTTGCTCAATCCCATACCTAGAATCACACTATTACAATTATTTTATACAGGGTTATACTGTGATCTGTTTTTCCAAGATGTTTGGCCGTCCTGTCAGAGGCCTAGTTATACGTTGGGAAATGTGAGCGATGACAATCTTATAAAAGAGAATAAGTAATACAGTTAGGAGTATTGATAAATTCATACAGAGCGTAATAATTTAGAAACAAAGAACAAATTACAACAATGATCAGTATAACTGGTTGCAACCTGGTTGCAGTGACCCTCAAATCCACAGGGGAGCCAGCTGGAGAAGTGAGATTCTGGGAGGGTCAATTAGGAAAAGACAAATGTTTCATCCTTGTTCGCAGAGGCATACTTCACCAACTTGTCGTAGGTCACAGAGCAAGAGTAAAGGTTTTCCTGGAGAATAAAGGCCAGTATGTTTCTCAAAAATCATAAGCTTATCACTCATACTTATCGGTTCCCTTAGTTCTATGTAATTAGTTTCTGTTTATCTGGATAAAGTCATCAGGTTTCCATTAGAGTTTTATAATTTACCAGTTCACTGGTATGATCTAAAAGTTATCAGGAACTTTTTAAAAAGTCCCTTGTTTGTGAATCTTCCTGAGGATCTTTTTATAAAAGCATCAGAGTAAAACAATGACTGTTTATATAAATGTTTATGAATGACTTAAAATGACAAGGTTAAAGATTTGATTATACTGCAGTTAACAAGCAACTTGGGTATTTTTGACATACAACATTTTAAGATAATTAGCATTATGACTGATACTGATACTAGATTCTTAGGAATTTTATACAAATTTTGAAATAACTGTATTAGGTTATATTGTGGAGATAAAAGTCACTAAGTTAAAACCTCAGTTTTATCTCCAGTTACTTGACAATTTTTTTAAGTAACTTAACATACCAAATATGTCTAGCTAGTTTAAGATCTCTGTGGGATGTTTCAGGGGCCCTCTGAAGCACCCCAAAGTTAGCTGGAGGCCAAAAGAACCTTAGAATTTGGTACTTGGGAAAGCTTGTTAAAGTTTGAAAACACTTGGTCAGATAAAACCATAGGTCACTGTGAAACAGTACCTACTCTACGGAAGTGGCAATGGTTCTAAAGACAGGAATAACTTACAACACTCACGCAATCTGGTATCAAAAGTAGCACTCTAAGAAACTTTTCGTAACATACAGAATTAAAACCCAGTCTCGTACTAGTTTTTAACAAAAAACTCTTTTCTTAGGGTTCCTTCTCAACTCTGTCACTTTCTGTATCCATATTATTTTATCCCTTAATTCTCCCATCTAGAAACTACCAACTCTAAGTAGCAAAATGCAGTCTTATCTTTTATACCTTCTTTTGTTGAAAACAGGTTTTCTACTGTATACCAGAATATTTAACTTTTTGTAGTAGCTTTACATATCTAAATTAGAACATTTAACTCTTAAAATCCTTGATTTCCCGGGAAAACGAGGATATAAGCAATTATGAACTGTCTTCTTTCTTAGCGTTCTGTAGCCAATAAATAATTTCTAAAATCATGTGCTTCCTTATAGAAAATCTCTTAGGGTGGCAAACATATTTATCAATAGAACCAAATACCTTTAGCTTCTTTGTAAAGGCAAGCCGATGTTTAGTAAGTAATGTTTTAATATCTTACTTTATTTGGGAATGACCTGGTTATTTAATAAACTCCCATCATTTAATTTAGCACAACTCTAGAATTTTATGATACCAAATATTTGCAGAGATTATTTTAAGCATACCTTCCTAAAATATAATTTTAAAGCATTTGCCCAAAAGCTCTTATCTCATTTGTATTTAATGTTCTTGTAAGAATTGTATCATACCAAATTACTGTTATTATATCTGCTGCAGATTTGACTTTCATTAAACCTAGGTACAGTAAAGGTATTATACTTAATATTGATGACTCTAATTAGATCAAGAAACTTAATCTAAACTTAATACCAGGTATTAAACTTAATATTGAATATTTCCCAGTTCACGTGAACCTGAAAGTCAATTTGGCCAGTTTTTATTTTAGAAATATTTAATTTGTAAGCTCTTACTTTTAAGTCAATTAAATAGAACTCTTATAAATTTAATTGGTATTTTTTAGCAGTAGAGACATCTTATACCTATAATGTGTACAGACTTATAAACAGACAAAACTAGAGACCTCATAGCTTCACTTTAAAACTTAGTTATGAGTTAGTATTACAATATAAATTTATTGCTTATAAAGAATAGTTGGAATAAGTTGAATTTGCTTGTTCAAATCACTAAGGCTTACTATTTATGGAAAAGACTTTCAAGATTTATATTTGTCCTTGAGAAAGTCTGAAGGAACCCTCAGAGTTCTGAGCTCCAAATGCCAAAAATTTCCTTGGCCTTAAGTTTTACTCTGTTGATCTAATTAGGTTCAGTCTCAGGTCAATGTGGTATTTACATTTCTGATTTGTAAGAAAGACAGTTGCTTTTAGTTCACCAAAGAACTGGTCTGTCACCTAAGTCCAACTGTATCTCCTTAATTTGCTTTTTTGTATCAGTGAGAAGACTTCCAAACAAAGAGTTCCAGGTTTTAAAACATTAGGGTTTACTTTATCATGTCTTCAAAGGCTTGCATAAGGCATTTAATAAGGGCTCTCTTTCTTGGGTTACAAGTTAAACCCAGAGTAAATTTCCATTGTTTTTATTAGCCCCTGAATATTAGCTTTTAGTCGTACTTTATATTGTACAGCTCAGGTAACCGTATTAGTTTCCTCTAGTACGTTTAATGCATGTTTCCTGAGGGGCAGATGTATGTGCCCAGTCTTACAATACCAAGCAGGGGATGCAGTCCCCACTGAAACGTATCTATCCCACAACATAATTAAGCAAAAGAGGTTTATATAAGGTCCACCTGAATAAGCTATTGACTGAAATAAATGCACAACCTGGAAGCTGCGAGTTAGTTATGTTTTATTCGGCGGACAGTTCTGAGGACTTGAACCCCTTTGAGCCCGGGATGACAGCCTCCCAGATGGCTCTGAGGGGCTGCTCCAAAGAGGCAGGGGATGAGCCAGGACATACAGGAGCTTTACTACAAAGACCAGGTAGGTGGAACATTAAAAGATTAGTTGTTAACTAAAGAAAACCAGGCATCTCAAGTTAAAGAATTTAGCTCTTTCTCTGTGTATGGGAGGAAGCAAACATTTGGGCTCACTGAATTCATTCCTTTGACAAGCACCTCACTATCTAGGGCCCGTATCCTGTCCTTTCTTATTCTGAGTCCCCTCAGAGGGCACCATTGTGAGTGGCTGCAGAGGCCGGGCTGCAGGCTTGTCTTCACTGGGGGGTGGCGGCAGCCGCTGATGGCTTGATGGTTTCAGTATTCTGTGTTTACTGATAGAGTTTGCGGTATTTTTGGTTTACAGTGCTCCCCCTTCATCCTAAATTCGACCAGTAATTTTGGGAGACATTTCATGACCAGTTTTGTCCTATGGTGCTAGGAAAACTCATTCCTAGATCAGGAGGAAGATTCTGTTGACGTAACAATTATGAGCGGCAACAGGGATCAGGCCCTGTTGATTACTAAACACTAATGTATCCTGATCGAGGAAAATATTCCCTCTTGTTGCTTCTTCCCATATCTAGAGTTGCACCATTACAATCATTGGTCTCATACAAAACTATGTATTTGGTCTACTGTTTCAAGTTCTCTAGTCATTATTTTATCAGAGGCTCAGTCACACTGTTGGTAATGCAAGAAGCAACGATTTTGTAAAACAGGCAAAATTCAAATATAGTTAGCAGTATTAGTAAAGTCATCAGTAATTTAAGCTGAAAACTTCCATTAGGTGCAGCTCAGTGTATTCCCAGGTCATCTGACCCCCAGGTCTGTTCTGTACCAATCCTTATCTTCAAGGAAGACATTATACCGGCATTATTCATGAGACTCCCAGCCAAATTTCCTAGTGTTATTAGGCTGGTTATCTTTAGTATAGTTTAATTTTTTTCCAACATAAGAGAGCCTTTAAACTTAAACGTCCATAACCTGGTGTTAACCATGTAAGTCCTTTCCGTAATTGAGGGAGGTTATATTCTTTGGCTGAAACTCTGCTGTTGCCTTGATTGAGCTTGAGTGACCTTATAAGAAAGTTTATATTTATGGCCAGGCTCAGAGCAGGTATTAGTAATTGGCCAGGTGAGGGCTCTCACCTTGTAATGTCAACAGCGGCCTAAATAGAACTATAATTTTTTTTTCCAGAATTAATTTCCTGAGGGCTATCTAGTTAGAGCCTTGGAGTAGGGAAACCCACCAAGGTAACACAGAAGTGCTAGATACAGGTAACTGACCATAAACCTAACAATTGGATTAGTTCATAAGCAAAGGTATGAGCAATTATCAAAGTAATTGGTACACAGGCCTGGTCCGGTGTCTTGGGTCAGCTGTCTACCTCAGATGTCGTCGTCTTCTCATCCTGGTCTGGTAGCTTCTTCTCCATTTGAGCATTGTTTCAAGGTGAGCAGTCCTCTATAGGCCAGTCCAGTGAAGGGGCTCTTTCTAACTGGAAATTAATCCAAAAGTCAATTTTCTTTAGCTTTTGCTGTGCATGGTCTGGTTAACAGAACCTGATAAAGGGCCCTTCCACCCAGGTTGGAGACAGTTCTTTAAGTCATGTCTGTTCCAGTATGTATAATCTCCTGGTTGTAGATCATGGGGCATCTGATCTTCATCCAAGGATGGATTACTGAGCTTCAGAAACAAACCTAGTGTCCCTTTAATAATTTAATTAAACTTTGCAGCAATGTAACATAACAGCAAGGAATGATCTGGTCAGTCGTAGTAAAATACAGACCTCAATTAACAAAAATAGAATTTACTATCCACTGAAATATCTTTTTCTAAGGTTACCCTCATTTTATCAAATATAGCCAAATCAAGATTAACTTGTCTGCAAGTTAAGTCTGATTATTTGATCATATAGGCTCTTTTAAATTGGCTGTGCTGGAACTTTTTATAAGGAGTCTCAAGCTGAAATTTTAACAAGGTCTTGTAAGGCCAGGAAAACCACGTTAAGGGCTTGTCACAGATTTAGATTTAGGTGAATGCTTTTCTTTTCAAGTTCCATAAAATACCTTGAGATTCCTGTATCTGTTAGGAGATGATCTTCCTATTATCTGATAGAGCCACTGGGGACCTAAGAGTTTCCAGTCTCTGGAGGGATCAGAGAGAAAAGATAACTGTTCCAAGTCTGCTTACATAGGTATAATTTATCAAGTTGCTGAGTCATAATTAGCTTAAGGAGAAGGGTTTCTTTTTATCTGGGAAACACAGATTAAAAGCCAGTAATATTTCAGACAAAATAAATTATAACCATATTTATCGGTTTAATCAGTCTCATGTAACTAATCCTTTTTTTGCTGTCAAGTTTCATGAAATAAGAGTCTCCATCAGACTTTTAAAATTCTCACCCAGTTCAGTGCTATAATCTGATACTTACCAGAAAACAGCAAATCTCCTTGAGAAAGCATTTTCCAAAGGCATCAGAATAAAATGTCTATAAATGACAAAAGGTTTTAAAGCATGGTTAGACACCTAGTTACACCATAATCGATAAAGAAACCTGGTTACAATAACCAGAATTATGACTGGTAACATTTCAGACATTATCAGATTTTTACGAATTTTACATGATTTCTATAATATCTATATTAATAACATTTTCTCATACCATATAACCTAAGAAGATTTATTTATTTGACAATACTTCCCATGTAACTTAACATTCCAAATGGAACTTACTAGTTTAAAAATCTCTCTTTGGGATGTTTCAGGGGCCCGCTGAAGCATTCCAGATTTAGTTGGAGGTCAAAAGAATTCTGATTAAAATTTGATATTTGGGGAGCTTGTTAAAAAGTTTTAAAATACTTGGTCAGATAAAAGCATAGGTCACTGTGAAACAGTACTTACTCGTTAATAAGATATTTCAAAGGTAAATGCAGAACAGATCACTTCAGGGGTAAAAGAAACTTTACAATCTGTTCCTAAAGGGTGGATTAACATTTTAAGAAAACTTTGTCCTCTTAACAGAGACAACCAGATCTAGTCTTGTACCAGCTTACTTCTAAGATTCATTTACTTTGACTAAATTTATTCTAAACTTAGCCAATCCCGACCATGTACAAAACTCTTTTTATCAGGGTCTGTCTTCCCCAAGCCTTCCACAACTTTCTATACTCATATTATTTTGTCCCTTATTTTCTCTTCCATTCAGAAGTAACCAGCTTCAGGACAGTCACTCTTTCTCCATTAACAAAATATAATTCCATTCCTCATACCTTCTTTTACACACTCATCTTATTTTCCTAGCATACTGAGATGTTTCCCTTAATAGTAGAGAATATTTCAGGGTGGCACCAGACATTTATTAATATTTCTAAACACCTTTAGTTTCTCTGTAAGAGGAAGTCAATGTTCAGCAAGTCATTTTTCAATCTTATTTTATCTGAAAATGGCATAGCTATTTAATAAACTCCCATCACTTGACTTAATTTAGCACATTAGAATTTTAAGATGCCAAATATTTGTAGAGATTATCTTAAGCATACATTTCTAAAATATACTTATTTTTAAACTATTTACCCAAAAGCTCTTACCTCATTTGTGTTCCGTTTAAGAATTTTATCGCATCAAATTACTATTATTCTTTTGATAAATCTGCAACAGATCAAACAAGATCTTATTTGACTTTCATTAAACCTAGGTACAGTAAAGATATTATACTTAATATTGATGACTGAAGCCATCTATATTAATTAGAACAAATGTAAACTTAATGCCAGGTATTAACTTAATACTGAATATTTCCCAGTTCACATGAACCTGAAAATCAAGTTGGCCAATTTTTATTTTAGAAATAGTTAATTTGTTAGCATTTACTTAAGTCAGTCAAAGCTCTTTTATAAACTTAATTTTTGGTATTTTTTTTTAGCAGTAGAGACATCTCACATCGATAATGTGTACACAGACTTATCTAGAGATCTCATAGCTTCACTTTAAAACTTAGTTTTGAGTTAGGTATTACAATATACACTTACTGCTTATAAATAACAGTTGGAATTTTCTTGTTCAAATCACTAAGGCTTACTATTTATGGAAAAGACTTTCAAGGTTTGTATTTATCCTTGACAAAGTCTGAAGGACCTGGTAGAGCCCTGAGCTCTGAAGTGCCAAAAATGTCCTTGGCCTTAAGTTCTACCTCATTGAGCTAATTAGGCTCCTTCTCAGGTCACTGTTTTTGTCGTATTTACAGATCTGATCTGCAAGACAAAGACAGTTGCTTCCAGTTCCCCAAAGAACTGGTCTGTCACCCAGGTCCAGGGGCAATTTCCCCTCCTAAACTAGTTTCCCAGTGTCAGTGAGAAGACCTCCAAACAAAGAGTTCCATGTTTTAAAACTTCAGGTTTACTTTATCATGTCTTCAAAGGCTTGCTTAATAAGGCATTTAATAAGGGCTCTCCTCCTCCAGTTCCAAGTTAAACCCAGGGTAAATCTCTCTTACTATTTTTATTAGTCCCCGGATATTAGTTTTTAGTTTTACTTTACATTGTCTGGCTCAGGTAACTACTGGTTTCCTCTAGTACGTTTAATGCATGTTTCCTGAGGGGCAGATGTATGTGCCCAGTCTTACAATACCAAGCAGGGGAAGCAGTCCCCACCGAACCATGTCTATCCCACAACATAATTAAGCAAAAGAGGTTTATATAAAGTCCACTTAAATATACTAATTTTTAAAAACTTCTATCTCAACAGTATCAATGCATACCTTTAATGTTTTCATTAGGTTTAATCAGTAAGTCTTGTTTTTAGGAGCCCTAGAAGACTTTACCTCTTGTCCATTTTATCCAATTTTATCTAAAAATTCTCTGGGAATCCCCAGATGAGTTTGAGCCGAAGGACTTAGGCCCTTGTCAGTCTTTAAATTTGATTAATGGGTCTAATTATTGCCCTAATAGTTGATCAAGTATCTGGTTTTTTATTCCAGCCCTATAAATATATATATTTTAAACTTGGGTAAATAGAGCAGACTTGTTTAATCCATAAATGTCCATTTCATTTATCCCATTTTAAATAACCATCTGAAAAATACTTATCCCATTTGGGATAAGTCCCTTATTATTTTTTATTATTATTATAAAAAAAATTGTGTGCATCCGTGTTGGTTACTTGTACCTTTTGGATGGCAAAGACCAAGGTTTTTAAACACCTGCATAAACACAAACACATAAAGTGCCCAAGAAAGATACAACATTTATGTTTCAAGAACACAGGAGGAGAAATCCAAGTTCCCTAAGCAATAAAGCAGCCCTGGCTCAGTTATTTTCAGGGTGAGATTTTCTTTAATTCTCAATTAAAGTTTTGTACGTACGTAAACCTGGCCGGGGTGTTAGTTGGAGGCTGGCAGTCTGTCGTTCCCTTGTCTTGTTTTGAAAGTTCTAGTCCCCATTTAAAGTCAGTTTGTCAGAATAAAATTGCTAGTGCCTTTCCCTACAGGGACGCTGCACGGCATGAGGTCTCTGCCTCCGTGTTTCTCAGTCACCCGAGAAAGCCGGTGCTGGCCAGGAGGAGGGAGCCGAATGGCTGTCGTGAGATTTCAGTTTATCTGACAAACTCTATTAAGGTAGCCAACTCAAGGAAAAATGACAGACCAGTCCTCCCCCTAATTACCCAGTCCAAGCCTACTCAGTGTTCTCTTAACTGAACAGTCTTCCCAGTCTTTCAACTGAGGATTAAAACCAGTCTCAACTGAGTGAAATCTTCCCAGTAGCTTTTACTGAGGATAACCCGCCCTGTGTCTAAACTGAGCAAAACTCTTCCCAGTGGCTTTCGCTGAGGGTAACCCAGGTACCTCTTTTGAAACTGAAAGTTTCAAGGATAACGTACTCCTCCAGAGAGGAGCGTAACACCACGGAATGAAACTCAGGTCCTAGAACCAGGAGAGACTCACCCAAATTCCTCTGGACTCTCCGAGGTGGCAGGTGGGCCCAAGAGGCCTCTGCTGGTACCGAGGCTCCGGATCCTTGTCGAGTTCAGGTGAAGGAGAGAAGTCTGCTCTGGGTCCCTTCATAGTGGTCGCCAAAACTGTCAACTGACATAAATGCACAGCCTGAAAGTTGAGAGTTATGTTTTATTCGGTGGACATTTCTGAGGACTGGAACAGCTCTGAGCCTGGGATGACAGCCTCCCAGATCACTCTGAGGGGCTGCTGCGAAGAGGTAGGGGAGGAGCCAGGATATACAGGAGCTTTACAACAAAGACCAGGTCAGTGGAAATTAAACCAGGCATCTCAAGTTAAAGACTTTAGCACTCTTCTATGTCTGGGAGGAAGCAAGCATTTGGGCTCATTGAAGTCATTCCTTTGACAAGCACCTCGCTATCCAGGGCCGCATCCTGTCCTTTCTTATTCTGAGTCCCCTCAGAGGGCACCACTGTGAGTGGCTGCAGAGGCCAGGCTGCAGGCTTGTCTTCACTGCGGGGTGGCGGCAGCCACTGATAACTTGATGGTTTCAGCATTTTTTGTTTACTGATAGGGTTTGCAGTATTTTTCGTTCACAAGTCTCTGGTTGCAGGCGAGATAAGAGGTTTAGGGCCCGCGAAGGGCGGTGGGGTTTATGACTGATGAGGTGGGCTGAAACAAGCCTGCCAGAGCTACTGTGAGATGAGGCATTACGTAGGGCTATTAATTTGTTAGGGGAACATGCCCAGTAAAGAATGCACTTCCTGTTGAGGGAAAGCAGGCAGATGTCCGAGAGCCCAGGAGTGGGGCTTGAAGGCTGTTGGTGGGCCCAACACTGCCTACCCAGCCTCCTTTGCCTCAAGACTAGATTAGAGGCCCACCTTGGGTAGAATTCACCCGTTACTGAAACTCCCTGTTTCCCTGTATATATCCTCCAGCAAGTTATAAACTGCTCGAGAACAGGGCTAGCACTTAATTCCCCCATTTCCCATTACACAGTGTTTTGTATCTCAGTATCTCACACTGTATCTAAAACCCAAAAGCTGACCCTTGTTTACTTTATGGAGTCCCACTGTGGTCAGGTATCGTTTCATTGGGCAAAGCAAAGTCCTGATCTCTTGTGCAGTTTTAGGAGCATTTAGCAGGAAGAGAAGAGGGTTGACGTCAAGTCGGGGAAAGTGTGTTCAACCAAAATGACTCTGTCCTCAAACAACTAACTTTCAAAGCAGGAGGCCACACTGATTGGTTGGCTTTTAGACATGTGTTCACCAAAGCAAGCTGTCATTGATCCGTTAGTTTTAAAACCAATTCTGGCGAACCTTTTTAGCATGGCAGTAGAACAGTTAATCTTGTCCTAAGAGTATGGGACACTTTTATTTTCCAGAGATACTCTAATTTTTGCTTAATAAATAACTATGGAAAAGTTGACCTAAGTGTCCTCTTTTTCTATAAATTGGAGCTACACCTACTTTCCTGGAAGATGAGGCTTAAAAAAGTAGACTGGACTCAGATTGTGAAGGGCCTTGAGGGCAAAGATAAAGCTCTTGGACTTTTTTTCTGGAGGTGTATTAATTTCTTAAGCAGTATAACACACTTTGTAATGCAGAACGGTAATACAATAATCTCATAGGTGACTAGGGAAGGGTGAAGAAGGGGAAGCTCACAGGAAGGAGAACAGAGAGGGAAGGTAAGACACCTGCACCAGAGCAGAGTCTTCAATGCCTTCGGCGCATCCTGGTGGAGCAGTCTGCGAGGCAGTTTGCATCTGTCGCTCAGGAGAGAGGTTAGAGCCAGAGCTAAAGACTTGGGATACTGCAGGCATGGGTCTGGATAAAGTTGCCTATGGTGGATTTATAGTTTAAAAAAATAAAAAGAGAACTAAAAATAGAATTCTAAGATAAACAAAATTGAAAGGATACGAAGAGGTCAAGGCGGGAAAGGACTGAAAGCGAGCAGCTAAACTGATCAGAGGGTCAAACAAAGTGGTGTCATAAGAGCCAAGGAAGGTTTAAGGGTGAGTAGGCATCAAGAGCGGCTAAAGGCCAAAGGGGAGAGAACTTGAGACACCCTTCCTCTCTTGGACACTTGGGGTCATTTGCATAACCTAAGGGTCAGGTCCCAGACATGAGAAGATGCAGGAGACAGCAGAAAGTCAAGGACTGGAAGCAGCATGTAGATGGTTTTTAAAAACTTGTTGGTGAAGAATAAGGAGAAGTAAAAGAAGGGCGCAGGTATAAGCTGAAGGAGGGGGTGGGCTAACGAGTGAGCAGTTGAGGATCGTGGGACGGGCTGTGGAGTCAGCCAGACCGCCTGAGGTCACATCCTGGCTGGACCACTTACCTGCAACTGATCTAAGGCAAGTCTCTGTGCCTCACTTTCCTCATCTGTAAACTGGGGGGACTGTTGGGCACTTGGAGCACCTGCCGTGAGCGAGGCAGTCTGCTCAGCGTGGGGATGTTGGGATGTGTCCCTGTTCCCCGCTTTCAAGGGCCTTACGGTTTAGTAGCAGAGTAAGCCAGCTGACACCCACGTTCTAACGTGGTCACGGCAAGGACAGGCCTCTCTTTACAGGCTGCTCGTTTACATACTTGCCAGACTCTAAGCAACCCATCATATCTGAGCTGTTCCTCTGGGTTTGGGGAATTGCCTTATGTCTGTAACAATCATTCAAAATGGCGCTTCTTTACCTTTCAGGTGAATCATGTCCGAACGAGAGACTTTGACTGCTGCCTCGTCGTGCCGCTCATAGCAGAATCCGGTAACAAGCTGGACCTGGTAATCAGCAGGAACCCACGGGCTCCACCCAAGTCCATAGAGCAGACTCTGCCTGGAGGAGAATGGGGGGAACAGAACAGTGCTTTCTTCCAACAGCCTAGTCATGGCGGTAATTTGGAGATACGAGAACCCACTAATACATTATAGCAACGCTTTTTATAAAGCGGGACAAGACTATCTACATGGTGCTAAAAAAAAAATCCCTTTAAGATTTCTGTGACATTTGAAGCACAGATAATCACACGGCATTAACTGCAAGCACAGGGGTCCTTTAAATCTCTCATGGCTCATGTTCACGTCCCTTTTCAAGTTGAGGCGGTTTCTCTGTTGGTGGTCACTATGGTCTATGACAGGCCATTCCCTGCCAAGCCCACGGGGTAGAGAACAAGAAAAACAGGCAGGTCACCCCTCTCCACAACATTGGAGGAAATTTTTTTTCACAAGTTCATCTTCCTGTTCCTTTTTAAAAAGAGCAGTGTCTATTTGAAAGTATTCTCTATGGTAATTTCCTTAAATCACTTTGAAATCAGTTTCTTACTACGAAGTCAATGTCAGAACTTAACCAACAAGGCTGTTCATGAAGCTGGCTCTACCAGGGGATCTAGGCTGGTGAACTGCTGGGGCTGCTGCTATGGGAGGGGAACAGGCATAACACTGAGTCATCTTACCATGTTTCAGCAACGATGCACGTAGGAGACCATAATAGGTGGTGGTAAATGTTTGCCCGAGTATAGGAATGATTTTAACTAAGATGTATGCTACTTCCCTATGCAACAAATTATCAAACAGGATATGTCTTGTGACCTGTTTTTCTTTTTTAAGGACACATTTTTCATAGCTAAAAAAATCTGATAATGAATTAGGGTGTTTAGTTACACAGAATTAGTTATATTATCTTATTTTTAAAATTGAAGACTAAGAATTTGACAGAGAATGAAGAGTCTATAAACATGAGGTTTCTCTTAATGGGAGGCAAATCACTCATACTGCTTGACATGTTTGGAAAACTGGTTACACTGACGGGTGTACAGCACACGTACTTAAAAGTAATGACACTGGACTCTCTTTTGTTCTGAGCCATGCCACTTACTGAAATTGTAAATACATTTTTCACAAAATGCATTGCCAATTATTACCATCCCTCAAAGCAATAAATTGTGACAGTTGCTTCTACTGTTTGTCAGCAACTGTTTTCATTTGTTCAGATATTTTGAATAGTTACACTAATAACTGTTATTTGGTGAATATAAAAAATAGATCTGTATATTGACTGTAGAATCTCCATAATGAAACAATTATTTTCCAAACATCTTTATTTTGGTTAATAATTCAAACAACCGCTTAGGTAAAAGCATTTGAACACTGTGTCCTTTGTTTAAGGAAAAAGTTCACCTTTCTTTTTGTGCAAAGGAATATATTATTTCAATCATATTTCAGAACCGCCAGGGCAAGAAAGTATAAAGCAGAATCATGTTAAGATAAAAAAGGTCATGAGTCACTTAAATATGTATTTTTATTTGTAACAAACAAGTATTAAACTGTAAAGTATTTTTGTACAAATTTAATACTTTAATAGCATGGTATTTATCGTCTATGTATGGTTTTGGGGAATTCAAAATTGTTGCAAATATTTGTATGGAAAAAAAACCCTCTACCAAATGGAATAAACAGTGATTATAAAAAGCCAAAAAAAAAAAAAAAAGAAAAAGACAGGTTTTGTGTGTGTGTGTGTCTGTGTGTGTGTGTGTTCTGGACTGAGCCGTACATAATACTTATGGTTACATAATTTTTCAAAGGGTGAAAATTTCACTATAAACTTGAAAAGCAACATGAAAGTAGGAAGAACATAGGTTTTGAAATTGGATCTGGATTTGAATTCCAGCTCTGGTACTCACACTGGCAGTATGAAATGTACTTACTGTGAGTCAGTTTCCTCACCTGAAGTACTGAAGGTCGCATCTACACTCCAGGACTGTCACGAGGCCAGGTGCGACACATGCGAAAGTGCCAGAACAGCCTGCAAACGGAACACCTCCAAGACTAATGTACATTTACTTCAGGTGACAAAGCTTGATCTGAACGCAAGGATCACATCTGCCTTCAGAACATTATATGTATTCTGTAATATCATAAACTATTAACATGTACAAATTTTAATCATGCTATCTGTAAAACTACACCTATGGTCCCAACATTTTTATTTTTAAAATGGCCTTGCAGGCTTTGTAAATTCACAGGAACAAGACAGGATGTCCATTCTTGTCACTTCTGTTTAACAGTGTACTAGAGGGTCTAGCCAGGGCAGTGTGACAAGAGAATGAAACAAAAGGCATCTAGACTGGAGAGGCAGAAGTAAACTATTTGCAGATGACATAATCTTGTATATATACAATCTTAAGGAATCCACTAAAAAACCTATTGAAACTAGTAAATGAGTTTAGCAAGGTCGTAAGATACAAGATTAATATACCAAAACCAACTGTATTTCTATTCTATATCAATGAACCAAAAATAATTATATTCTCATAGGATCAAAAATAAAATTTTTAGGAATAAATTTAATCAAAGTACCGAGTAGGTTTGGAAGGTGGTGGAGTAGAAAGACCCTGAGCTAACCTCCTCTCACAAGCACACTGAAATCGTAACTATCTGCACAGCCATCAATGAACAAGACTGGAACCTACGAGAAAAGATTTTCTACAACTAAAGACATAAAGGAGGAATCACAAGACCTGTAGGAGGGGCAGACTCACGATATAATCAGATCCCATGCACCCGGGCGGGCGACCCACAAACTGGAGAATAATTATAGTGCAGAGGCTCTTCCACAGCAGTGAGAGTTCTGAGCCCCACGCCAGGTCCCTCGGCCTTGGGACCCAGAACCAGGAAGACGAGCCCCCAGGTGCTGGCTTTGAAGGCCAGTAAGGCTTTATTGCAGAAGTCCCACAGGACTGGAGGAAACAGACTTCACTCTTAAGGGGCACACACAAAAACTCATGCACATCAGGACCCGAAGAAAAAGCAGTAATTTGATAGGAGCATGGGCCAGACCTACCTGCTGGTCTTGGAGACTCTCTGGGAGGGGTGGGGATTGGGGGTAGCTGTGGCTTACCTGGGGGACACAGGCACTGGTGGCAGACATATGGGGGAACATTTAATTGCATGAACATTCCTCGCAGCTGACATACTGCATCATTAGTGCCAAGACCTGGCCCCACCCAACAACCTGTAGCTCCTGAATTTACTAAAGTTGCAGGATACAAAATTAATATACAGAAATCCATTATATTTCTATACACTAACCATGAACTACCAGAGAAATTAAGGAAACAATCCCATTTACCATCACATCAAAAACAATAAAATACCTAGGAATAAACTTACCTAAGGGGGTAAAAGACCCGTACACCAAAAACTGTAAGATGCTGATAAAGAAACTGAAGATGACACAAACTCATCGAAAAACATACTGTGTTCTTGGGACTGAAAGAATCAACACTGTTAAAATGACCATACTACCCAAGGCAACCTACAGATTGAACGCAATCCATATCAAATTACCAATGGCATTTTTCACAGAACTACAACAAAAATTTGAGATTTTTGTATGGAAACACAAAAGACCCTGAACAGCCAAAACAACCTTGAGAAAGAAGAATGGAGCTGGAGGTATCATGCCTCCCGATTTCAAACCATGCTACAAAGCTACAGTTTCCAAAACAGTACAGGACTGGCACAAAAACAGACACACAGATTAATGGAACAGGATAGAAAGCCCAGAAATAAACCCACGCACTTATGGTCAATTAATCTACAACAACGGAGGCAAGAATATACAGTGGAGAAAAGACAGTCTCTTCAATGAGTGGTGCTGGGAAAACGAGAGCTGCATGTAAAAGAAAGAAATTAGAACATTCTCTAACACCATATACAAAAGTAAACTCAAAATGGATTAAAGACCTAAATGTAAAACCAAGTACTATAGAATTCCTAGAGAAAAACAGGCAGAACATTCTTTGACATAAATCGCAGAAATACTTTTTTGGATCCATCTCCTAGAGTAATGGAAACAAAAGCAAAAACAAATGGGACCTAATTAAACTTAAAAGCTTTTGCAAAGCAAAGGAAACCATAAACAAAACAAAAAGACAATCTGGGAGAAAATATTTGTAAACCATACAACCAACAAGGGATTCATTTCTAGAATACATAAAGAGCTCTTACAACTCAATAACAAACAAACAAATAACACAGTCAAAGAATGGGCAGAAAACCTAAACAGACATTTCTCCAAAGAAGACACACAGAGGACCAATAGGCACGTGAAAAGATGCTCAACATCGCTAATTGTTAGAGAAATGCAAATCAAAACTACAGTGAGGTATCACCTCACACCAGTCAAAATAGCCATCATCAAAAAGTCTACAAATAACAATAAATGCTGGAGAGGGTGTGGAGAAAAGGGAACCCTCCTATTCTGTTGGTGGGAATGTAAACTGGTACAGTCACTATGCAGAACAGTATGGAGGTTCCTTAAAAAACAAAAAATAGACTTACTATATGATCCAGCAATCCCACTCTTGGGCACATATCCAGAGGGAACTCTAATTCAAAAAGATACAATGCACCTCCATGTTCATAGCAGCAGTATTTACAGTAACAAAGACATGGAAATAATCTAAATGTCCATCGTCAGATTACTGGATAAAGAAAATGCAGTTTACTTACACACACTTACACAGACACACAAGAATATTACTCAGCCATAAAAAAGAATGAAATAATGCCATCTGCATCAATATGGATGGACCTAGAGATTATTAAGTGAAGTAAAAATATATCACTTATAAGTGGAATCTTAAAAAATGGTACAAATGAGCTTACAAACCAGAAAAAGACTCAGATATAGAAACCAAAGTTATGGTTACTAAAGGGGAAAAGGGGAGGAATAAATTAGGATTTGGGGATTAACATATACATATGACTATATATAAAATAGACAAACAACGAGGACCTACTATAATAGCACAAGGAATTATATTCAGTATCTTGTAATAACTTATAATGGAAAAGAATCTGAAAAAGAATATATACACACACACACATATACATACATATAACTGAATCACTTTGCGGTACACCTGCAACTAACACAGTATTGGTAAATCAACTGTACTGCAACTTTTAAAAAGTATGAAACTTGTATTCTGAAGCTACAAAGCACTGTTGAAAGAAATAAGAGAAGACATAAACAGAAAGACACCCATGTTTATGGAAGTTAATATTGCTCTCCCCAGATATGTAGATTCAACACAAACATCATCAAAATCCCAGCTGGCTCCTGTCAAAATTGACAAGCTGATCCTAAAATTTATATGGAAATGCAAGGGACCCAGAAGAGCCAAGAAATCCTGAAAGAGAAAAATAAACTGAAGGACTCACATTTCTTGATTTTAAACCTGCAAAGCTCATAAAGACCCATGGCACTGGCATAAGGATAGATGTATGGACCAATGGAACAGATGGGGAATCCAGAAATAAACCCTCACATTTATAACTGATTTTTTGAAAAGGATGCTAAGACAATTCAATGGGGAAAGAATAGTCTCTTCAAGAAATGGAACTGGAACAACTGGATATCCACACGCAAAAGAACAGAGCTGGGTGACTACCTCACCACATAAAAAAATTAACTCAAAATGAATCAAAGAGTCAGGAGGGTATAGCTCAAGTGGTAAAGCATGTGCTTAATACGAGGTCCTGGGTTCAATCCCCAGTACCACCTCTAATAAAAAATAAAAAAATAAAAATAAATGAATCAAAGAGCTAAATATAAGACCTAGAACTATCAAACTCTCAGAAGAAAAAACAGGAGTAAGTCTTCATGACTTTGGATAAGCAATGGTTTCCAAGATACAGCACCAAAAATAGAAGCAACAGTAACTACAAAAATACATACTTTGGGCATTATCACAATTAAAAACCTGTGCTTCAAAAGACACCACAAAGAAAGTGAAAATCTACAAAATGGGAAAAATTTTGCAAATGTTTCTAATAAGAGATTTGTGTGTCTGTAGAATATATAAGAACACATGCTCCACAATAAAAAAAATCATGTCCAATTTTTAAGTGGACAAATCATCTGAATAAACATTTCTCTGAAGAAGACATACAAATGGCCAATAAACACATGAAAAGATGATCAACATCATCAGCCGAGAGAAATACAAATCAAAACCGTAATGATATGTCACTGCATACCCACCAGGATGGCTCCAATTAAAGTCAGACAATAACAAATGCTGGAGAGAAAGGAGAAACTAGAACCCTCACACCTTGCAGGTGTAAATATAAAATGGTACAGCTGCTTTGGAAAACAGTTTAGCAGTTCCTCAAAACATTAAATATAGTTACCATATGACCCAGCAATTCCACTCCCAGGTACATACCTGAAAGAAGTGAAAATATACACCCACACAAAAGCTTGCACACACACGTTCACAGAAGCATTAGTTGTGATAGCCAAAAAGTGGAAACCACCCAAATGTCCATCAACTAATGAGTGGATAAATTCAATGCACTATATCCATACAATGGAATATTTGGTAATAAAAGGAGATGGAGGCCTTCTGCCTCACTGCGCTACTGAAAGTAACGTGGACCAGCAGCAGCAATACTGGAGCCACCTGCAGAAATTCAGCCAAGGTTCCTGATCTCATCACATCAGCCCAAACCAGCACGGCCTGATTTGGAAAAACGACCTCAACATATGCCGCCAGTTTTCCATCAGTACATGAAGGATACGGCTTCATCAATTGGACGGAGCGATCCTCCTTGACTGGATTATCCAAGACATCTACCCAATAAAAGAAATAATGCTAGCTCTTTGTACATATGTATTTTTTTAATCTTAAAAAAAAAAGATGAAGCACTGTTAACATGCAACACTGCTTTATGTAAGTTTCAGCATGAAGTCAGAAAACATGTGAAGTCAAAGCAGTCAGTAACAAGGGATCATATATTGTATGAACCCACTTACATGAAATGTCTGGAAGAGGCAAATCAATAGAGACAAAGCAGGTCAGCAGTTCTGGGCTGGAGGGGATAACGGGATTAGAGTGAGGAGGTAAAGGATTTCTTTGGGGGATGATAAAGATGTCCTAAAATCAACTGTGTTGGTTGCACAACTCTGAACTTACTAAAAGGCATGCAGTTGTGTAAGTGGGTGAGTTGTATGTGAATCATATCTCGCTAAGGCTATTTTTAAAATATTGGGATAACAGGTAAATTTTTCCTAATTGTTTTCTTTTTACCATTTAATAATAAATAAAACTCAAAAAAAAAAAATCAAGTCACTGTGAGAAAAAAAAAATCCCAAAGTGGAGTATCTTCAAAACAAGGCACTCTCAGAAGAAATGATGATTACGCGACCTGACAGACACCAGCTAGGGGCACCATGGTAATTACACTGCAGTACAGCAGTACTGAATCAAAGGATGCACATCGTACACTTATACAACAGTAATGCCAGGAATATCTCAAATTAAGAAAACAAAACAAAAACAAAACACAGTGTGCTTCCAGCTCAGAAGGAATTTCCAAGAAAACGTACCAGGTGCAATGGGCTCAGGCAGCAGTGATAGAGCAAGTGGCAGCCTTGTGAGGTGCCACTTTGCAGAAGACACAATGTCCTAGAATGTGTGTCAATTGGAGAAACAATTAGATTTTATCTTTACCATTGCTTCAACGCATTAGCAAAGATCACCGACAATGATGGAAGTTAATAAGGCATTGTTTTAAAAATAAAACACTTTATAAAGTACAGAGTTTTAAAAATATATAACATTGTTCCCTCATACATATGACCAGTGTTAACAGTTCTCATGATGACAGATGTTGAAATTACGGTTTTGATGAAATTAACTGAAAACACCTGCTAACACAAACGCCTTAAAACTCCAGTTAAAAGACACCCTCTTTTCTCTTGATCCTTTGAAGCCATGATGTTCATTTTGTGTTGAATGGAAAAAAAAAACAATTATTTTGAGCAGTCTGAAATAAAATTAACTTTCTTGATTATTTGTAGGTTTGAAAAGTTGCCTGGGGGTTAAATTATTTAGTCTCAAATTCTGAAATTTAGAAGACACTTGTGGAGATGATTCTTCCACCTGTTGGAATAACAATAAAAATAAAGTTAATTTTTTTGTAAATGTAGTCATTCTACCCTGTGTTCTCCTATTCCCTCTGACTGCTTCTCAGAAGACATCATACATTTTCCCCACCCCTTGGAAGTCTTGAGCAGACCAGAGCAATCATCTATCATCCTTGCATAATCATGTCTGCTTTTGTTCACTGTAGTAACCCCAGTACCTAGCTCTGCCACTGGCATGTAGAAGTGACTATTTGCTGAATGAGTACATACAGCTCATTTCTAAGGGCATGGACAGGGTCCACTACATAATCTGGCAGCCCAGTGCAAAATTAAAATGTGGGCCCATTGTTCAAAAACCGAGTTTCAAGATGGCAACCAGAGAACATTAAAACAAGCGTAGATCCTTCTAAGCATAAAGCCGTATATGACCGACTGCCTGGACTACATGTCCACGACATCAACTATGGGTGTGCTTAAGACAAAACACCGCAAGTCCACAAGTGTACTCCTGGTACCATTAGTGATTGCCAAGCACAAGCCAGTGGACCAGTACAGTCACGAGGAAGATTCACCACCACAGGTAAAGAGAAAAATAAGCACAATTCAATTAGTCCTTCTCCATGCTAAATCTGTTCCATTTACAGAGGACTGGGATGGTTAATTTTATGTGTCAACTTGGCTAAGCCACAGTACCCCGATATTTGATCAAATACTGTCCAGATGTTTCTGTGAAGGTATTTTTCAGATGAGATTTTAACATTTAAATCAGACTATGAGTAGAGTGGATTACCCTCCATAACACAGATGGGCTTCATCCAATCAACTGAAAGCTTTAACAGAAAAAAGTTTGGCCTCCCCCCTAGAAAGAAGGAATTCTGCCTTCCAGACTTGAAATGCAACATCAACTCTTCTCTGGGTCTCCTATCTGCCAGCCTGTGTGCAGACTCTGGACCCCACTATCACCAGCCCTCAGAAGGCATGAACCAACTCGTTAAAATAAATCCAGAGTGGTAGATTAGACAGATTAAATAGACTAGACAGATAAATAGACAGACAGACATACAGAGGCACATCCTACTGGTTCTGTTTCTCTAGGGAACCCCGAGTAATAACAAGGACTCTCTTTATTCAGGGACCATGTGATTATGTCCTTCCTAGTTTTTTTGTTTTTTGTTTTTCAAGTGAAAATGTCAGTTTCTTTCAAAACTTTTGGAAATCACTGCTTTATATATGATAAATTTTAGCAATACTTTACACACACGTTTTTATTTAAAGGTCATTTTTATTCTCCCTCCCTCGCTCCTCCCCCTTTTCTTGGTGGTGGGAGGCTAGGGGAAAAAAAAAATCAGGTCAGCATTTTCTTTTAGGACTTTTTCTCAAAACCCAAAGCTATTAACTGATAGAAAGGCAAAAGCTCTCATCTAGAAGGGAGGTGCTCCGTCATTTCGGTTGCTGGTGCCTGTAGACTTTAAATGCAGATTTGCTCTCAGGCAGCAATGTGAATGCGGAGGACGGGCACATGGACAGCCCCTGCCACTGGCTGTGATCTCTTACAAATGACATATCTCAGTGCACCTGAATGTGTAGAATTACAGAAACCCAGAAATTCTTAACTTATCAGTCCCGAAGCTCTGAATTCTAGTTTCCTCATTTCTAGGGATTCTTGTAAATGCCACATGCTTTTGGCAAACCATCCCCTTCAGTTAGAGAACTTTGCCTGTGCTGCTGCCATTATGCAGCGGTATCGGCGAGCACGCGCAGCCACATCATCTCTCTGTGTTCACAGACCGTCTGTGTCGCTGGTCTCCACCAGAGCTTCAAAGCTATGGCCAGCTCAAAACTGAAGGTGAACAGCGCTGCCAGTTTGTCTTTGTACCGTCATATAAACCATCCTTCCCCCATCCCATGCTGATGCTAAGAAAGAGAGCAAGAAACTTTTAGAAAAACTCTCCTTGGAATCGCCTATCTTTTCTGCTCCAGGTCAAAAGCCTGGTCTATCCCAGGATCTTTGCAAGAGGTAACGTAATTAATTTCCAAAAAAGATGTTTTGCTGAGATGGAAAGTCCATATTAAAGAGTTGATCTGGAGTACAGAATGAGACTTAGAATCAGCAGTGATCCTCCTACTTTGAAAAAGAAAAAAGGAAAAACTTTTCTGCTATGTCCACTTTTATCACCTTCCCCACACAGGATGGGAGGAGGCAATCAGCTGAGAACTATTTCATCTTCCTGCCATTAAATCCAACATACTGCATCCCTTTCCTTCTGGTTATAGTGGAAGATGGGTCCCCTGTCCCCAGTCCTACCTAAGGGAAACCTCTACCTATGCCCTTGATTTTCTCAAACTCACCCACTTCAGGACTCCATTCCTGCAATCATCCCCTCTCTGAATCATGAATTTCTTGTTTTCCATTGGATCATTCTCCATTGGAGCAATACCCCAGGATGCTTTAAGGTACCCATCCAAAATCAATCGATCGAAAATTCCTTCCCTGACCCCAAGTGCACCAACCCGATACAACCCCCTCTCTGCTTCTTTTTCACAGCAACCTTCTTCAAGAATTCTGCCTCTACTGCTTCCTCCACTCTCACCTCTGATTCTCTGACCAGTCCACTCTAAGCTGGCTTTTGTCCCCTCCCCACCACCTCAGTCTCCCTCCTCTTTCACTCATACTTCTTTTCAGTCTCCTTTGCCAGTTCCTCCTCCTCTGCCAGACCGCTAAAAGTTGGGAGTACCCCCAGAACTGTCTTAAGGCCCCTTCCTCTATCTGCGGTGTCTCCTGAAATTAACCCAGCTAGTCCTTTAATTACCACTATAAGCTACTGACTCCTAACTGGACACTTCCCATCCTAACCTACGCTGAGACCCTAAACGCCTCTACCAGCCACTGACTTGTAACATAACTGGTAAACATACATGCCAGAAGAGAACCCTCTGCTTCCCCAAACCCAGTTTCCCTCACATCTTTCCCATCTCAAGAAATGGCACTGCAGTTCACCGACTTGCTTCAGCCAGAAAGCCGGGAATCGCCCTGGATTACACTATTTTACCCCCTACGCCCAATCGGCAAGTCGTAGAGTCTCCCTCTCCAACCACGTCCAGCATCCAGCCACCTCTCATCGCCCTCCAGGCTCTTTCACTGCTCTCCCTGGGACAACCCCCCGATTCTTGCTCTCAGCTCCCTTCCCACAGGCCACTCTCCACAGCAGTCAGAGGGCTGGTTTTTAAGCATACATTAGATGATAACACACCTTGGCTTAAAGCCCCCAAAATGGATTCCTGATGCAAGTAGAATAAAATCCCAGCTGCCCCTGTGGCTTTACCTAGTCTTCTAAAATCATCAGCTGTACTCTATTCCTCGTTCATTAGGCACACTGGTCCCCCTTCCTCCGTCACCAAGGTCACGCCCTTCGCAGGCTTTCATCTCCCACACCCTCTGCCGGGGTGCTCTTCCTCGGGGCCTCACCTGGCGGCTGCTTGGCAGCATTTAGTGCTCAGCTCACATATCACCTCCTCACTGAGGCCTGACCTGACCACCGTGGCCAAGCAGCACCTCCTGCCCCTCCTCACCATCCCTACCTCATTACCTTCACTTTCTTCGCACTCTTTCTTGATCTGCAAACTATTTTCTCTGTTATTTACTGCCTATGACCCATTGGGACAATGTAATGTCCATGAAGCCAAGGACCCGTCTGTTTTTCTCCCTCTAATATTTAGATCAGTGATGAGCAAAGGACCTAAATTTTCTTTTCGCATGCTGAAAGAGGGGAGGCAGAGAGAAGGCATCTAAGTCAAGTTGCAACTTTAAAACAAAAGGAAGAGATGAGAGTAAGTTTGGTCCAATTTAGTGAACTAACAGAATAGGCTGAGCAAAGCAAAAAAAGAATAGCAGAAAATAAAATGATGCTGGGAAAGACGGAATTAAATGGAGAAAGGTTTCAAATGCCAAGCTGGATCATCTGGAATTTATGTTGTAGGCACTAGGGAGCCACTAAAGGCTTTTGAACAAAGGAATGAGCTGGGCAATTGGGGTGAGAGGGGTGGTGAATTTGATAACAGTGTGTAGGGGGCATTAGCAGAATGGGAACAAGGGAGGGGAAGGCAGGCAGGTCAGCAATGATCCAAGAAGATAAGGATCTAAAACAGCACAGACTAAACGTGATGGAAGAAATCCCTGAGAGACATTTTGCAATAAACCCAGCAACTAACCAGAGATAAAGAGTGAAAACAAGGTGAATCTAAAGTGACTCCGAGATTTTAAGCTTGTGTTAAGTGGGAGACTCAAGTTTGAAACGGAGAAATCAGAAAAGTAAGATGTTGGGCTGCAGTTCCAGAAAGTTTCCAGAAAGGCAACTTTTAGGAACAAATACACAGATGGGGGTGGTGTGGGGGGGTGGTTCATTACCTCCTGTTCAGCATTAAGAGCATTCGGTCAAAGACCAAGTTACCTACAGAGCCTGGCTGTCTCCATCACGGGCCACCCATGCAAGAGTGGGAACTGTCACTTCGCTTTGAGTACCCGGTGCCCAGGAGACAGAGATGTAGGGGAGGTGGTAGGCAAGGTAACACTGAAACCGAGGGAAGGAAACAGTGAAACAGCAACTGCAGTCAAAAATATGAACTGTCGGGGGAATAGTCCAGAATAGGACCTAAGAAAAGGCCTCTGAAGTTGACAAGATGACTGGGACCAGCCGCTTCAGGGGAGCAGGGGGGACAAAGCGTGACTACAGCCTAGGAAAGAGAGGGGACTGATGAGGAAGATGAGGAGAGAAGGTGCAGGAGGACTCAGAAGTCTCTCCTGGCACACCGCCCCCCACCCTCAACGGTCCCACTGAGGTGGTCCAGGGTGCCAGCCTCAAGCACCGTGAGGAGCATCATTAACAAAAGTACACAGTCATCTACAAGCACACAGGCCAGCAGCGTTGCGGTAAACCCCCACATCAGTCCTACCATAAGCATTTTGTTCGGACTCTCAGCGTCATGCGCGCAACATGATCTTTTGGACCCTCTCGGTTTTGATGGATCCTCCTTTGTATCCACTTCATCGGGTGAAGAGCATTTCCATCCTTCCGCAGGGGTAAACACCCTGTCGTCAGCCGCAGAGGCCCCGCTTTTGGGGACGTCACTGGTCACCACGGCAGCCGTGCTAGGAGGGAGCGGGGGTGCTGGCGGCGGTGTGCTGGGTCTCCTGCTGTCTCCAGCGCTCTCTGGCGGGGATACAAAATCTGCTGGAGACGCACCACTCACGGAAAGCTCGTTTTGCAAAAAATGCTTTAAACGAGTTTTTCTGGGAACACTGTGTCTCATAATTGCGCTCCGAAGCTGAGACTCTTCTGCAATGACGTACACTCGGCAGCGGCCCCTGGTCACCGCCGTGTACACGTGCTGCCAGTGCTGGCGGCCCGCCTTCCCAACCACATACACCACCGTCTTCTCCTCGGACCCCTGAGAGGGAACAATGCACGAGGGTGATTAACATTGCACAGTGGGTTCATGTCTTCGGACAGTCTACACAAGGAGAAAGGGCAAGTCCTCCAAGGGCTCTCAAGTGCCTTCTACCTAGCCGGAGTGTCCGTATGAACCCATCTTACAGGTTTCATTTCATTCATTATCCCAGAACTCCTGTTTTCTCATCATGCTGCTAAGTTTGGTGTCACATATCCACAACTGGCTTGTACAAACCCAGCAATACACTTTAAACTGCACGCTAAATCTTCCCTAACAAAAGAATTTGAAATGGATGTGCGGGCTTCATATAAATGCGTTATCCCACTGTTACTTATGTAACAAAAAACGGACACATGAAATATCCAATAATAAACAGATATTTCTCTTTCTCAAGTATCTATATGTGTTGCAAACATCAAAGATGCTTTTAAAATATAATGACAACATTTTTAAAACTTGATACATATATATAAAGAATGATCACAACCATGGAACAAAAAATAAAATGACTCTGATCCAAAAAATACAAAATGAACATAAACGTGTAACAAAAACAAAATAAATCATGAAGCAAGAAGAAAATTCTACCAAAAATACAATTCTACCAAAAATTTTACCAGCTTGTTGCCAAATGGAGAGCCTATGGATCATTTTTTTTCTACTTTCCATCTTTTCCCAATGTTGAACCATTTATTACTTTATCAAGATAAACAAAAAAGAATGACGAAACTTTGTCTTTTGGGCTCAGCAAACCAAGAGCTGTATGGGCAAGAAAAATGCCCAGTGTCACCATGTAACTGTGAGAAAACAGTAACAAACTGGGGCTATTCTCAGTCCCCATATTTTTAGTGCCAATATAAACTAAGAAGGGGTTTGAATCATTCTCTCTCCCAATGCTCCTACAGTCCCCCCTGTTGAAGGAAGAATTGTGGGGACACAAATGACAAGATGAGGCATGCAGAAAATACAGATCCACACGAGGAAAAAAATCAACTTGTACACACCACGTATGTCCATCTTCCTGGACACAGAGGGTTTGAACCAACTGTTCAGGCGATGAAAGCTGGATAAATACTTCCTTCCAAAGCTCCTGAATTTTGGAAATGAACTTAAATAATAATTATAGAAATGCTAAATACATTTGCCAGAGACACAGCACCACTTCCCCTCACCCTGGACTTTATATTGTGTTTTCCTAAACACGGAAGTGTCTACCTAAACTTAGATAACTGAGTTCTTAATCATCAATTATGTATCACTGAGAAAAATGTAACAGCCGCACCATTGGTCTCCCTGAACCCACACTTACTGTAAGACGCTGTCCTCACAGCAGCCACAGGGGTATTTGTAAAACGCATATCCAGTCACATGAGACTCTGCTTATAACCCATTAATGGCTCCCAGGCTCTCAAAAAACAAAACAAAAAACCCCCCATCTAATTCCTTAGTACAACTCTTACAGTCCTTCAAGAGTCAGCCTTGGTCCTGTTCCCCTCCCTCCTTCTGCCTCCCTTCCCATGGCCAGGCTCCACCAGCACAAGGAACTTCCTCATGGTCCTGCCTGTGCCCCCCAGTACGTGGCCTCCATCTGGCCCACTTCCGGATTAGCTACACATCCACATTTTTTTTTAAGTTTATTTATTTATTTTTTGGTGAGGGGAGGTAATTAGGTTTATTTAGTATTTATTTATTCTTAGAGGAGGCAATTGGGATTGAACCCAGGACCTCATGCATGCTAAGCATGCGCTCTGCAACTTGAGCTATACCCTCCCCCCACGTACTTCCTGTGTCATAGAATTTGTGCCAACTGGAATGTCACCATCTGCCTCCTTAGCTGCACTGACTGGACTAGAAGCTCTGTGAAGGCAGGACTGTCTTGCTCACTGTCCTTTATCAGCTGTCTCACTGAATGAAGGAGGCTAAAAATTAAACTGTCAGCCAAAGGTGTGCTCAGAAAGTGGGACCCAGGAACCTACTTTCACCTCAATAACCTGCTATAAATCAACTGTTCGTGTCTTTAAATCTTCCTTAAATCATTAAGAACTGTCAAATGTCTTAAAGGAGGCAAGTTTTATTTATTTACTTCTCTAAATTTGGTCTGAAATTCAACAACTTGTATGATTAGACACACACCATTAATACCGTCCGGGATTTTAGGGACCTAGAATCAGTATTTCCACCTTTGCAGGCCAGATGGTCTCCATGGCAACCACTCAACTTGCCCTTTCAGCACAGGCACAGCCTTAACCAATCTGTAAATGAATGTGTGACTATGGTGCAATAAAAATTTCTTTACCAAAACAGGTGGAGGGCCAGATTTGGCTACCATATTGGATAACACGGGCCTAGAAGGCCCTAGGAGGCAGCCTGGCCCATATGACTTCTCTGACCTCCTTTCCTGTCATTCTCCCACCCTGGCCTCCTAGCTGTTCCTGTTTCTCAAACCTGCCAGATGGCCTCCCACCTTAGAACTCCGGCCCTGGCTATCCTCTCTACCTACTACACTCTTCTCCCAGATACTCATATGGTTTAACTTCATTACCTCCTTCCAGTCTCTGCTCAGATACCACCTTCTCAGTGGGGCCTACATTGACCACTTATTTAAAATTACAACTCACCCCCACCCCTCTTCCGTAGCGTCTTCCACCTTGCAACATGATACACAGTTTACGTATTTTTTTAGATTGCGTCTGTCACTACCCTCTTTCTCACCAAATGGAAGCCTCACATTGGCAAGTATCTGACTATTTCACAGACAGAGAAGAGAGTCTGACAATATATATCTGTTGAACTGAACTCGGAAGAGCAAACCATGCTGATACAACAGTCACAAATGTTCTCCGAGGTAAGTGATAGTATATCAACGAAATAAGAGCCAGAGGCATTGAAAATAACATTCCAAGGTAGCTACTCCAACCTCCATACGGTAATAATAAAAGACCTCTTCACTACTTATTCATCAGAAATGCAGACAGACTGGATTATAAATTTGAGGAAATCTCCCAGAAAATAGGCCAAAATGCTAATGAGATGGAAAATAGGACAGACTGATAAGAAATTCAAGTGACCAGTTCTGGAGGTCCTATAGCCATATAACAGAAATTCTAGAAAGAAAAAAACAGAAAGCTGAAGATGAGATAATGAAATTATTTAAGAAAACGTCTCCAAATTGAAGGCTATGAGTTTCCAGGATTCCAAAGTCCCCATCGTAAAGGGGAGAAATTTCTCCAGGATCTCACAGATGGGAGTATCTGCACTTCTCAACAACTGTTTGTTTGAATTCAGTAGACACAATCAATTGACCGTTTCTCTCTTTGCTTTGGGAACTTTGGCCCTAAGGGAACTTCAAAGCCAAATCTGCAGTCCACATTAGCAAGCACACAGGACAGTGTGCACACCGGCATTCCAACCCACTCCTGGCAGGAATCCTTCTACTGTCCTTACCTTTATTTTCCACTTGACATCATTTCTTTATCTTTTAAAAAATCATGCTGAATAGTGGGCATTTTTTGTAAGCCATTTCAAATTCTTTTTGGAACCAAGATGAGGTAATAAACAAAACACATTCACTTAAAAAAAAAACCCCACCTCTGCTAATTAATGTTTATCTTCTACTAGATGATACAGGCTATGCTACATAACATGTTGTCATAAAAATGAGGGTCGATGCAGCTTTGTCATTAAAACAACATAACATCAGAGAGGGGGGCTCAGAACACCGAGATAAATAACCGAGCCACAAATAACACGAGAATTCAAGAATATTAAAGTTGAAAAAGCAAGCTGCACCAGGGAAGGGATAAACTGAGAGTTTGAGATTTGCAAATACTAACTACTACATATAAAAAAGATTTAAAAATTTCTTCTGTATAGCACAGGGAACTATATTCAATACCTTATAGTAACTTATAATGAAAAAGAACATGAAAACGAATATATGTGATCATGTATAGCTGAAACATTATGCCGTACACCAGAAACTGATACACTGTAAACTGATTATATTTCAATTAAAAAAAAAAAGTTGCACCAAATGCAGTGTGGTGTCCAGAATGAGCCTCTGGAATAGAAAAAGGACATTCGTGGCAAAACTGGTGAAGTCCAGAAAAAATGTATTACTTACTTAACAGTATTGTACCAATAGTAATTTCTTAAGTTTTGACAAATGCACCATGGTTATGTAAGATGCTAAGATCAGGGGAAGCTGGGTGAAGCATACATGGGAACTCTCAGTACTAATTCCCCAACTCTTCTGTAAATATCAAATTATTCCCAAATAAACAATAGTTACCTCACAAGGGTGAAGGAAGGGGGTACATTCATCAAAACTCATCCTGCTTTGTAATTAAAATGTGTATGTAAATTATACCCCAACAAAGTTGGTTAAATAAACAAAAGTTGCAAAAAATATATAATCACTACTATACCATTTATGTAAAACCTGGCTATCCTGTTTCTGTCTGAATGGACACATTCAGGTCAGAAATCACCACTGAGGAGGGTGGGAAGGCCTGGGACCAGGGGCAGGCAAGTGAGGCACTCACTTTGGGCCCAGAATTTAAGAGGATGCCAAGAAACAAAGCAATCAAGATAAGTAAATTCAAAACAATAAAAATTTAGAGCAAGAAAGTTCCACGATGAACAAAATATCAAATTAAAGAAAAAAAAAAAAAAGACCTGTAAGAGTGCCACACCAAGTGACACTGGAGACAGAAGCAAGAAGGAAATTCAGTCGTCCTGACCCTGACCCCTCTCCCTGGGGGAAGGAGAAGGCCTGCAGGATGAGGCTTTAACTATACCGTCGTAGCTCCTGAAAATAAAGAGAACTCTGAAGCAAAAAGAGCAAAGCATTACTGTCTGTACACTAGTTTCTGTATTTTTGTACATTTTGTCTAATCAATAAAAAATAAAAGCAATAAAAATGAGGAAGAAAATAATGCAAAGTACTCTATCTTGGCAAGCAAGCTATTTAAATGGCCTTATACAAGTCCATTCTTACCTGAAAAGTGTGAATAGTTCTTGCCCATGCATGTTGTATGTGACAATATTGCATTAGTTTCCCAAAATCCACCGTTACTTCCAAGCCAGCCATATTATTAATGGTCAAAAATCTCTTCTTTCCAAAGGTTACATCAATTTTATCCTGTCACCAAAACAAGTAACTGTTTTGTATGTTTTCAACTATGTACATTGTAAAGATATTCTATTTGGGGGTTAAACATAAAATCCAAGTACCTTGTAAATAAAATTGTTAAGTATAACTGTGAAGAACTTCAAAAGGCTTAAAAATCTATGCTTGAGAATATATACACACCAAATATTTTAATAAACACAAATGCAAGTTTTTGGTCCTTGAAAATTAACCTTAATTTGACTCTCTGGAGAACAGTCTGTGTTGTATTATTTTAAAAGACTCAACATTTCATTTCTTGCACTATGTTAAGTCTGCACATGTTTTTTGCAAAGAGTTCACTTCTCCTCACAGCTTTTAAAGAATAAGCCTGTAAATTTAAGGGTGGTTATACAATGAGGACGAATTCAAGGTGACCACTAGTATAGTTTATTTAATCAGCAACCAAGGACATGATACTCTGTAAAATACAATAATGTGTCACTTGTCCCTTGTTTTTTGTTACTCAAGCACTTCAAACTTACTAAAAATATGTTTCTCCACAAAATCTTCCAGAAAATATAAGAGAAAAGAACACTTCCCAACTCATTTTACGAGGCCAGCATTAGCTGGACACCAAAACCAGGTAAGACATTCCCTAGAAAACGACAGATGCAAAAATCCTTAACAAAAAATTACAGAAGATGATCAGCTCTGATATTAGATTCTGAATCAATCCTAGGGCCACAAAGAGAAAACCAAATCTATCCTTGAAAGGTAAAAAGCTATTTTTCTGTTACCACTTACCCCTGTTATGAAAAATATTTCTCCATTGCAGAGCCGAAGTCCACTTTCAAAGTCATGCTTATTTTTAGCAAAACCACAAAGAGCACCATTGAAGTCTTCGCCACTGGCCTTTAGCTCACTCTCTTGCTGGCTGTCGGAGGCACTGTCAGGGAGTAGCTCTGAGAGGTATGCATTCCTGGTGCAACAAATTTTATCGCCAACTCCAAATTCAACTCTGTTCTGATGGTCTCTGGGTCAGAAAACGAACGTACAGCGTCAGTTTGGAAAACCTCAATTTCACTTTCTTGAAGCAGCAACTCCCACTCAGATCCGATGCAGGTCTCAAAGTAACTCCCACACTCTCTGCATTACTTTTGTTCTCCAAAGTTCAACGAGAAATCAGGTTCCCACAGCTGTGGTCTGGTTACCTACATGCTCTGCAGCACCTCAAACTCAGTGACATTTCCCAGCCGAATTGTTTCAAGTTAGAAGTCTTGCCATAAAGGCTGATGGTCTCGCCTTCCCTCTATATCCTAGGAGTTACCCAAAATCTTATTGATTCTACCATTCAAATCCATCCTCTCCAATCTCCTTCATCGCGGCCCTATTCCAAGTGTTCTAGCACTTGGACATATTTCTATTATAATAATTACGACACCATATCAGAATAATAGTAAACTGAATAAATGCTGGTGATAGACTAGTTACCGTGATAAGTGCTTTAGAAATGTTATTTCATTTTTGCTACAACTTTATGAGGGAAAATCTGGCCACGTATCCTCTTTTACGAACATGGAGAGGTAAAATGACCTGCCCAAGATCTCAGGTGCTGAGACCCAGGCTGGACAGCCCCAATCTCATGCTTTTTTAACCCTTTGTCCTGTTATCTGTCATTTTTTTTGGGTCTTCCCTCAATAGGCAGGGAACTCCTCCTGTAACTTAACACATCTCTAGGTTCTCCGTGCTTAACAAATAGTAAGTTTTGATAGATGCAAAAGAAGTGAGTTCATCTGTCCTGTGTGTAAACAGAGTGGCTTTTCTCTACTCCTGTTTCCCTGAAAGATGTTCACCTAAGGTGCTCTCTGCAGGCATCCTGATGCTAAGGTTCCTGGACACACACCACACATGCTCTACTTTGAAACATTCTCCTGAATTCCCCACGCTCATCTTGGAGAAGCTAGAGGCTGCCAACCTGGAAACCCTAGAGACAATTTTATTCTTTTTCTTATTACACTGATTACCAAAAAGTCAATTCCTAAGGATCTACGTTGTATTTCATTGAAGAGATCATCTGAGTTCACCAAGGAGGAAAAAAAATCATCTTTAAATATGCGGCTGCAGGGATTAAATGTCAAAACAAACAAAACCACAGCGGATCCAGGAAGGCCCTCCTCGAGGTTCCGGTTCTCTGTGCTCACTTGATTAGATGGCCGGTGTAGTGCTCGCAACAGCAGGCGTTGATCACGTTACAGTCCTTCCTGGAATACATGAGCAATCAAGAGTCACTGGATGGAGTCTATTTTGTGCTTATCTCTGTCACCAACAATAACAAGATACTGGATTCTATACAAAGCTTCCAGGACGCTCGCCAGGAAAAGAGATTTTGTCAGTTTGATCTGAACATAAACCTCTGTTCCATTCAGATTTCCTACGAGTTGCCAAATATAATATTTGGTAAAAAGAGCCCTGTTTAGAAACTGCCTTCTGCTGCGTCCACCAAAGAAACGCCTCAGAGTAAGAGGATTCAGTAATGAACTGCAAGAGTCTCCCATTCCAGCAGTATACAGATTAATAAATTATGAGTTTTAAAAGCAGCATTTAAAAACTTTATACTGTAGTAAATGCTTTACCTTCTAAAAGCAATAAACTGTGATGTTTTTGCATCTTGTAGGTCCTCTTCTTTGAGTAAAGTTTTAACCGCAGAATATAAACCTAATAATTCAAGAGAAAAAAGTTAAGCACGGAACAGCACTATATTACAGCACTGTTTCATTGGAGAATTCAGAATTCCTGCTAAGAGGCCCAGGAAAACATCCCACCAAACGGGATTCAGATTCACCAGGGGAGCATCAGCCAGAGCAAGAGAAAAGAGAGCGGAGGCAAGAGTCCCAGACCCCCTATCCTCAACAGGGAGGTCAGCCACTAGCCAGGGCAGCTTCTAATCTGCAATACAATCACTGCATATTTATTCACGATTTGTGAATGCTGAATCTGAAACATGAACAAGAGGACAAAATATGTAACAGAATAACTAACATGAGCCTTTGCTATTTTTAAGTTCTGGTGGTACTAGTGGTAATGAGTTATAATCTGAAAATCTGTATGCTGTGCGTATGTTATTTCATTTAATCTTCACAAGACGTGTATGATGCACACATTATTATATCCAGGGCTGACATTTAGCTGATACATTGCCAGTATAAAATACGGAGGTACTTCTTTAGTGACCAGAAAATAGCCACTCCCCTAATATCACTATGCCCTACCTCTCACCCCAACTATGACTTTCCTTCCCCTAGAACTCCCAGATCACCCCATGACTCAGCAAAGAAAAGGTTAACCCTGACACCCAGAAAGGCAACCATTCTAAGACCGACCAGATCCTACCAGCTATTAAACAACTGAACTGTCACCACAAATTCCATCCTAGTTACCAATGAGAAACTGAGGTTCCAGGAAGTAAACGAAATTTTTCAGTGGGGTAGGGTGGCCAGCCTCCCTCTTTTAGAGCTCAGATCATTGCCAACAGTGAATCCACTTATAACCTGTCCTTCCTCAGCACTGGGAACTGAGAAGCAGGCTTCCTCTAATCTTTCCTAGCAATGTTAGAAATAAAGGACCATTTCTCATGAAAGAGAGATGTAACAATTTAGGTAAGAACATTTCAGGCTTCTGGGCCACCCCCCTGTAGCAGATAAATCACGGGGAATGAAAAAGCCCAGGCCTGTGATCCCTGCTCTAGGAAGACTAAATTAGTTGCTTGCTTGGTGAGCCCTTCATTTTTCAGAGGAAGGGAGGATTATCACTAAAAAATAGCCAATGCTCAGCTCACCCCCACCGCACCGTGCTTGCCGAAGGTCTCACAGAACATTATTTTCTCTCTCACGCACCAGGTCGTGCTGCCTGCTCCTTGCTTTGTCTGGCTCTGCATCTCGTAGATCAATACGCACACTGTATTTCACTGATTCTAAGATTCACATTTTTACCTCACATTTTACCATCTCTGCAATTCTAGAGCAGCTCTGAAGCCTGTCTTAAGTCTTTGTATCTTGTAATAATGGGAATAATTGAGTAATTTATTAAGTAATATTTATTACTTAAGCATTAAACAATACTACTTAATTATTAATGAAAAAGTACTATATGCCTCTCCAAGGAGTATTTATTCAATTCTCTTAAAGAAGAGGCTCATTTTCCAGCTGAAGTTTGTAATTAAGATAACAAACCGCATCGGCTTAGCTCTGCTCCCATTCTGAAGCCACTGTTTTTTTTTTTTTTAAGTACATTAATGTAAAGAATGCATGTCAGAAATAAAACTAACCATATTTTAGGAAGATCTAAATGGAGTGGTGAAGGAAGCAAGTTTCTTAACCATCTCAGTCTCACCTTCTTCACCTGTGCTGGGACCTACTCTGAACTAAGCTGGGGTGAGAAGAATCCTTATCTGCACATTATTCACAACATGTAATAAAAAACAAATCACAAAACAATATGTAGCTTATAACGCAATGTATGTAAAACTAAAATAAATAAATACATGTTTGTGTGTGGCTACAATAAGGTTTAAAAAGAGGAACACCAAGCTCCTCCTATGGATGTGACCTTATGGGCTTGCCTTGGGGGAAGAAGAGAAAGGATGATTAAAGGAAATATTCATTTTTACTTCAAGTACTTCTGTACCATTTTACTTTTTTTTTTAAAGGAATATAAATTACTTCTATAATCGGAAAAACCAAAAAGGCACTTATAGAATCCTATTATTATACGATCTCATTTAAAAAGAAAAAATACCGTCACAGGAATGAACACTAACCCAAGGGAACTGAGGTGGGAACACACAGAGGAGGAGAGGCTTACAGGTAAAGCTGGCTGTCAGTTAATTTCACATGAAGAGTGACAGCTGCTAGGAAGGAAGGATGTATCTTTAAGAACTGTGGTAACAACAGTAAATCCTCAGTAATAATCATTTAAATCTTCATCCAATTTTGGGTAAATCATTACACTATTAAAAAAAAGTTTGCTAAGTAAGCTTATAATATAAAGATCAAAAGGTATAATCTATTGAAATAAGATCATTTGCAGTAGATAATCTGCTATCTATTACTCACAAAACACTAACATTTATAATAGTTCCTCAAAACTGAGGAATGCCCTCAACCCTCACAGCTGCCTCAAAGGCACTGCCACCGTGACCCCCGTTACAAATGGCAGGGTGACGTAACACGGATCATACACCTAAGGGAGACTCCTTATCCCGTGCACTTTCTCAGCCCCATTCTGTTGTCATGCTAACCCCAACGAGAAGCACTGTCTGTCCATGTTATAAAGAAACAGAGATATTAGGAACTCAGCCTGGCAAGAGCTTGACAGCCGTTACTTCTGTGTCAGAAATGTACTCAAAACAGATTTCTAGATACTGACAGGTAAATATAGTATAGATAAACAAGTTTATACTGTATAGCACAGGGAAATACATTCAAGATCTTATAGCAGCTCACAGTGAAAAAGAATATGAAAACGAATATATGTATACTCATGTATGACTGAAAAACTGTGCTGTACACCAGAAACTGACAAATACTGTAAACTGACTATGACTCAATTGAAAAAAAAAAAAGAAAGAAATGTACTCAAAACAAAGAATGTGGTATTTATGTTTCCAACTGCTGCCAAAGAATAGCTTCATCCATGAAGACATGTTTTCTCCTGAATGAACTTGGATTCCTTGGACTTTGCTTTATTTTAAACTAATCATCTACGTCCACTTATTCACTCAGTATTTACCAAGCCCTTAGTGTGCACATGTCAAGAGCTTACTTCTTTACAAAATTCTAGAGTAATCTGCTTTGATGATTAATAGTCTATTTCCAGTGCCTAATGTTTTCCTAGCAATGTTTATCTTTACCAATCATTATAACCAGTCATTTGAAACTATATTACAAAACTGAAATACTTAACCCTATATAACATAAACGTTTATCCTTACAAGATTGATGATCACTTTTTGAGAACTGAGAACTGGAATCTTCTTCTGGGAGTCTGACAAAAACAAATGATTTATCTTGTATTGAGGCAGGGAACGTTGCATCATCAGAGATATTCAGCTCTGCATCAAATGTTGGAAACTGGCGTCTTGAGATTCTTAGAGATAAAATAATACACCAATTAGTATTCCAAAATCTGTCTTCATATATAATCAGAGATAATGTCATTACAATAATTAAAATCTGTGAATAGGTCACAAGTAGGGTGAAAAGGCTACTCATATACACATTACAGTGAATGAGTTTTAAAATAGACTTAGCAAGACCATAACGTTACGTTCATCAATCAGTCCCCTACCCCTAGCACACTGAAAGCACTAGAAAAACTTGCCAGGGAATTTACTAGGCACCATTCTGAGAACTTGACCTACTTTTATTCAGACCCCAAAAGAACCATACAAGGCAGGTATCATCCTCACTTAACAGGTGAGCAACACAAGGCTTAGTCAACTATGAGGGGTTTTCCAAGCTCACAGAGGTAGAAAGCAGGCGAGGTAGGAGGGAAATCTGGGCTCATTTGGCTCTGTATTCTTTTCTATTTAAATTAACTTAGACTCTATGGGGCCTTTTCTGTACATTTACATCATACTCTTCCTTTTCTCCCTTCTTCTGTATATATCATATGCATGGTCTCATCTTCCCAAATGTACCGAGAATTCACATCTTCTCTTTGCTTCTATTCCCTCCTCATCCTTCTTTTGTTCTTGTATTTTCCAAGATTAGCAAACCATATCAGCAAACACAGTAAGGGCCAGGTGCTTTGTCATAACAGACTCCCTCCTTTGTTATCCGGAAGAAACCTGACTCCCTAGAAAGACCTACCGGCAGCCTGGCTGTCACAGATAAGGTACCCTACTGTGTCATCTTCAACTCTTCCCAGCAGGGCTGAAAGAGAGGAGAGGAGAGAGGAAAGGCGGCTGCCCCTACTGGAAATATCCCAGATTTAATTTGGGGGTTACTGAGAATCACCATGGATTTTCTGCTTTGCTTCAGACCCAAGATCATGCAACATATTTCTATCTCTAGGAGCTTTTCCATGGTATCACCGGGATCCATCTGTCATTCACCATGTGGTGATGATGACCAAGAAGAAATGATGAAAGCAGCACAGCTCAGCCCAAATGACATCGAAAGGGTTACTAAAAGGAATTCCTAAGATTCAGATAAAATTGAGTTCTAAGAAATCTAATGTGCTTTAGATTTTTTCCAGACTTTAAAATGAGCAATTCCCTACCAACATCCAAAACTGAGGTGGCCTTTAGGTAGGAGCAGAAGAGTTACAGGTAAAGAGTATTACACATCCAGCTGCATTATTTTTCTTAGCATCTCAGTTCTGACCTACATCATCCACGCTTCTCCTGTCCGCTCTTACTCTACTCCCACTAATCCCAGCCAAGGTAGCAGGGCATGAGAGATTGTAGGTTTTGAATATTCTAGTTTCTGCTGACATCCAACTAAGAACATGTTTAAGCAATAAAAACAGCATCTTGTAAAAGAGAGTCAAAAACAAAGATGGGGGGGTAGGGTATAGCTCAGTGGTAGAGTGTGTGCTTAGCATGCATGAAGTCCTGGGTTCAATCACCGGTACCTCCATTTAAAAAAAACAGTAAATAAATCTAATCACCCCTCTCTCCCCACAAAAAATTTTAAAAATTAAAAAAAGAGAAAAGATAAATTTTGGCCCAATGAATAAAATAGTCTCTTAATATTCTGTGGCTCCATCATACCCGTCACAGAGGATGACTCTAAAGGCTTATGCAAAGATTAAGGAGAAAGGAGGATTCTTTCCTGCTTTAAGGAGAGTAATACAGGGGCCACCAGGATTCACCAAGGAGTAAAACACTGCTGTTGATGGGTTTTTCCCCCTCTTTTGGCTCCCCTTATAAAAACTGAGGGGAAAAAAAATTAAGGGAAATTTCTTCCCCAATTCACCCTCGAACTTTAATGAACTCATTTCCAAGTCTCCATTCCCCTTGGGCTTATTGTGGTCCTTAAGCTTGATGCAACTTTATTTCACATGCATACTTTTCCAATCAGGAAAACACATTCTTTCTTAAATTTCAACAATACAGACTCACAGACTTAGAAAACAAACGTATGGTTACCGGGGGGGGGGGAAGGGGTGGGAAGGGATAAATGGGGAGTTCGAGATTTGCAGATACTAATATATACAAAATAGATAAACAAGTTTATACTGTATAGCACAGGGAACTATATTCAATATCTTGTAGTAACTTATGGTTAAAAAGAATATGAAAACGAACGTATGTATGTTCCTATCTGACTGAGGTATTGTGCTGTGCACCAGAAACTGACACAACATTGTAAAATGACTATACTTCAATAAAAATATATTTTAAAAAGTAATTTACGTTGGATCAATAATGAAAAGTATTAACTTTGCTCTTTTAACTGTAAAGCAAAGGTATGTATCTTTATACACATATATATGAAGGATAGAATAGGTTTCCGAAAAGGGCGTAGTAAACACACTGCACTGAATCACCCTAACTCAAAAGCTAGTATTTTTTTTTAACCTTTTATTGCTAATACAACAGAGAGAAAATGCAAAACTTTAGTTGTATTTTACCTTGTAGCATTGTCCACAATTAGTTCAGATTCTGCTCTATGGTTGGTCTTTAGTTCAATAGCACAATTCCTTGACTTAAGTGTCTCAAAAAGATCTTTCAGCAAGTTACCAGGTTCAATGCTGGGTAACTGTCTAATATCACCTAAAAGGGGGGAGAAAAAAGATAAAGTTTTAGGTAACTGGGATCTTGAACTTTAGAAATTATTTTTATTTCTCCCTACTGAAATATGCTATAATTATAAGACTTATTTTGAGGGGGAAAAAATCCCCTAAAAGTCTTTGTTTAAAATTAATTAAGAACATTAAGTCTTTAAAAAAAATCAACAACAAAAAAACCATTCCAGTTAAACAATACAACATAAAAAAAAAGTGATAACCCAATCAGGTAAAATATGAACTGAATTTTTTCATACCTTTAAACACAGGTAAACTGTGTAAGGGCAAAAATTTTTAACAATGTAAAGAAAAAACAGGTTTAGATATCTAGAATTTAGTCATTTATTCAATCTTGTTCAATATCTTACCAAATATGAAGGAATCTATGGCCTTGAATAAATAAACATATAACATGAAAAATAAATAATCCCAGTGCATTTGATAATAGACATATTCCAGTAACATAATGATAATGTTTTGCTTTATTAAAAATCTTTTTACTTTAAACAAACATGCAAACTCTAGAGACAAACTATTTTCTGGGTGGAAACGAGAAGAATGCTTAAGCTATTAACAGAATCAACTACTTATAAAATACCCTCAGACACCTCGAACAGTTATTCAGATATATTTTGAGCCTCTCATAGCAATTCTATTTTTTCTCCATTAGTGTCTCATATAGTCGACACATCAGGACTACCCAAAAGAATCTAACTGAATCTCACCAGAATTGGAAGGACTGAAGAGGCCAGTGAGGTCTAACCTGCTTTATTAGCTTAGCATCATAAAATGACTTAAGTGGTCTATAGTTAAGACTTTATATTATTTTCAAATGATCTGCATCCTGTTACTCTGAGCCTGTGACGTTTTTACTTTATAACATCATCATCTAGTGGGCTGCAGTAACCCCACACAGCAAACTATTTTATTCACATCCTAGCTTGCTAATAATCCTGGTCAACACATAGAACCACCAACCCAAGCTGATAAAGCAAGTGGTCAGACTGAACCCAGTGTGGCTTCTGAGAAATGGCTTCCCACCTGCAGGATGTGAATATTAAAACAGTGAAATGATATAAACAACCCACTAACAACAATTATTTAAACCAAACAATCAGGATACCGACAATATTTTCACTTACCGAGGATGATAAGCTTTGAAAGCTTGGAGTGCTCACACAATAAATTTAAAACCGACTTGAAGATTCCTACAGACACCAAACTTCCTTCATCCACAACCAGAACTCTAACCAAAGAAAATTTCCATGGCTTATCCTTGGTTGTCTTTTTCTTCCATAAATAGAAGCTATAATTGACCTATGAGCAAAGCAGGGCATTTCTTAGTTCAGCTTATAAAATGCACTGGCCCAGAATTTTTTTAAACAACATGTTCTTTTAGAACAATACAATTAAATAGAAAGGGGGCACGGAATGATGCAGCTGCAGTAACAGGGGAAACAGAACCCAAGTTATAGGATGAATATATAGAAAAGACAGAGCAAGTAAATCGAAAAACAAAAAAAAAATAAAAAAAAAAGTTTCCTAACAAGTACTGTGTTTCATTTAACAAGCTTCGCGCACAGCACTATTCCAACTGCAAAAAGCTCAACTGTTATCACTTTTGACCAGAGAGAGCTCACTATTCTTTTCCATTCTCAAGTAAACCTTCTCTTAGCCTTCTGAGGTCACCCAATCACTTAAGCCCCACTCTCCTCCCAACTACAATCCTCCATTCTGGAAATAAAGGGCCGCCTTCCCAAACTAACTATGAAAATATTACTTTTTCGTCTAGTACTCTAAACTCTGTTATTTCCCCAACCACCACCACCAACAGAACAACTAAAAAACAATTTATTACAGAGGTAATAACATTTACCATTTAAAAAACATGGATGAGAGAAAAAAATGTGTAAAATTATAATCAGTGTTAAACGTCTTGGGTGTTTATCATTCCAGAAATATTTCTATGCTGTAAGTAAGCATATACGTATACAGATCTTAATGGTATCATATCTTTACTTTTTTTTCTACTAAAATTAGATCCAACATGTCTGTTCAGTAAAAGCCTTCATATTTCTCAACCAAATGCGTGAACTCTCTTCAACAAATCCTCCCCCGCACCCACCATTCTCTCTCAGTGGCCTTGTCTCACAATAGACCATTGTAATTATCACTATTTTTCCTTATTTTATACATTCAGTTAGTTATCTTAGAAATGCCTGACTGACACTTTTCCCCCTGGATTTCTAATGTCATCAACTCTACACGGGCTCTACATTTGAGCATCTAGATTGCTCCAAAAGATTTACAGCCAGTTCCCCACATACAAACACAAGATGGGATTGTCAGATGACATACAGGACACCCAGCTAAACTGGAACTGCAGATAATCAAATCAAGGTCTTTTCAGTGTAAGTATGTTCAGTGCAATATTCAGTGCACACTTACACTAAAAATTTGTATTTTTATCTGGTAAAACTGGCATCCCAAGGCCAAGGATGGAAGGTGGCATGAGTGCCACCTCAGTGCTCTTCCTGAGCCCTTACACCTCTGAGCCCGAACGGGGCTTCAGAAATGCTCTCCTGGCATCCCAACCAGACGTTGGGACACTACCCACTGATCCAAGTTGGAACAGAAGATGAAATCCAGTGATGATCCTTCTCTGGCTTCTCGTCTTTGAGTTCAGGCTAATCAATCAGACATGAAAGTATAATGGAAAAAAATCACAAACTGATCAGAAGACTCTTCCACTCCCGAGCTACACTAAACTTCCCTGCGTCTCTGTTCACTCGTGTGACAAATACAAGTAGTGCAAAAGTAATTCCTGAGGTGGCTGCGGCTCTATGATTCTAGGTAACCTTCTTTAGAACTGCTTTTCTCGTTTCACTTTCTTGCTTGGGAACCTAAATGGCTCCCAGTAATCAAGTCCAAGCTTCAGGATCAGGTATGCAAGATCTGTGATAAATGAGGAAAAGACGGCACCGGGGAAAGAGCAGCAAACTGGGAGGTCAGAGACGGGAATCCAAGTGCTGGGGCTGCGCCTGGTTAAGGTCTGGGGCCAACTGTTTAATATCCCCAGGTTTCAACTGGCTCTTCTGTCAAATGCAGATAATATCACTTACCCACGTCACTGGTTTGTCAAGGATTTAATGAAACGGCAAAATACTTCAAACTTTAAAGCTCAAACCCCTGGTCTAAACCAAGTGTAATTTCCATTATTTTACAACACACAGACTTCCTTCCAATCAGTGCAGTCACCTCGAAACCCTCTACACACACTTCATCATTCTCCTTAATGCCTTTGGAAAGGCCTTTCCCTTAAATAAAATGTCCTTCTCCTCATCTGAGCTTCCTTGTCCATCGAGTCCAATTCAATTATCCTTTCCTTCAGAAATCTTCCAATGACCAAGTTCCTTGATCTGCAACAGGGCAGGTCAGGACTAGAGGAAACTCTCCAACTCTTTACAAGTTTAAAACTTCATGACTCTTAACTGTAGCTGAAACTATTCTCTTCCAGCATCTTAATTCACTTGAAATTTTCACTATGCAACTACTATTTGCCAGGTGCTATTGTGGGCAAAGGAGATAAAGAACTAAACCAGATGATCCAAGTTCTCACTTTCATGGAGCTTTCATTCTACAAGATACAATCTTTTTCTTCCAACTACAATGCTTCTCAAAATATGGTCTGTGGACTCTGACATGTTTGTAACCAGTCCCAATGAGAAACAGAGCACATGCCAAAATGGAAACTAACTATAACATTAAACACACACTTTAGTTTAGCTGACAATTTTATTTTTCGTAATCAGATTTTCTCAATGAAGGAAGCAATGCCCTGATTTACTTTCTGGCACCAGCTTCTATCTCACTGCAAACCAGTAACAGTTTACAGACTTGCTGTTTTAAGTGGCAGAGATCTAAATGATTAGCTACATAAAGTAAGGATCTAGAAGACCTTCAGTCAATACCTACTGACTGTCATCAGGGAGAAATGAAAAACAAACTCAAAGTTTGTGTTTAAGGCAAATGTTTCATCTAAAGAAAAAATGTAAAAAGTTTTACCTGGCATAGTGTATAAGCGTTAAAACCAGTTTTCTGTCTCAGTAAGCCAGCTGCTTTCCCTGTAGGTGCTGTAAGTAAAACTTCTATAGCCTTGTCCGCCTTCGGCTGACTTTGCTCAATGAAGGTAGTCCATTCTTCTGGTGCATCCTGGTCTTGTTCAAAATCTTCACAAGCTTTTTTCACTTCTGTTTCTTCCAACAGCTCTATATGCTTAAAAAGCTGGCTAACAATTGTGGTCTTCCCACAACCACCTTTCCCACTTATGACTGTCACAGCATTGGTGCAAATCATCTCCAGAGCAGCCACCTGACCCTGATCCAGTTGACCTTCACTTATTTCTGCACCAACTTCCTTTTCACCATTATCCCAAATAAGGTCACCAATGTCCTGTGTGTCCAGAATGTCCACCAAATCTTCTAATCCTGTTTCATCAGATTTACCTTCATTCAGTGTATCATCACTTTCCAAATTCTCGGATCTTGTGGTGTGAATAGATGTAAGCACCTTCTTGACGTCGACATTTAAATGCCACGGTGGCCTTGTCATCAGGTCACATATGGAAGAGGCAATGCCTCTTTCGGCCCAGTAAAGGTCATAGAGAAAGACACAGCCCTTCTCGTACGTCACCACCCCAATATCCTTCAAGAACTTCAGAGACTGCCAAGCATCATGAAAAGACATCCAGTCTGACAACTGTGAAGTTAGGTCAACTTCCTCAATACACGTGTGCCCATGTTCTCTGCACAACTGCTTCAGCTGAGAATATATTACTAAAGCATTCTTCTCCAAATCAGTCATCAACTGGAGAAGAGATTTGCACTGACAAAATGATGTCCAACTTGCCTCACATCGTAAAATCTTCAGTTCACTGTAGGTTATCTTTAAGAAAAGAAAGTTCAAGTTGCTTTATAAAAATTATACACATTGACTATAATTAGAACTGCAGTGTTTGTTAATAATTTTTTAAGTCCCAGATGACATATGTTTCAACTAAATTTGGAGAAAAAATTAGGTACCTAATACATCACTAATTTTTTTAATCAACTGTACTGTGATTTGAGATCTATAAAATTTTCTAATTAAAATTACATTTTCTCAAAGCAATACATACAGTTTTAAAAGTCTAGTTAACACTATGTGGCTTATCACAAAAAAAAAAACAGGAATCCTCTAACTTATCATTTTCATGCTTCTTGAGAATTTATCTCCATATTTCTAAGAACTATTTTAACTATTCCTTGATTTTTTTTTTTTAAGATATTTAGTATTAACTCCTTACTACGGCAAGTCTTTCTTCATGGAAGCTCTTGTCCTTTTATACCACCACCTCCCCACACGGTTTTCCTCCTCCCATCTTTGAAAAAAGTTACAGTGCACATTTTGAAAATTGATTTTGGTTAAATCAGTGTTAACAGGATTCACAGCTGAGTGACACGATACAGCTGAGTGACACGATATACTGTGATTACATTAACTTTGTGTTGAACTCCCATGTGTGTTGTTAAGTTAATGACTGCCCAAACTCTACTGTAAAGGTATGGAACTTCCTTCACCATGATCCACTCAGGTCATCTACTAGCTCCATTTTTTCTTTCTTTCTCCCACAGAGACATCACCCTTGGATCCCTCCATATATTTTATGGGCTAAAATGTGTCACCAGAAAATTCATACGTTGGAATCCTAACCTCCCCTCCAGTACCCCAGAATGTGACCATACCCTCAAAGACCACAGGGTCTTTAAGGAGGTTATTAAGTTAAGATGAGGTCGCTGGGGTGGGTCCTAACCCAATGTGACTAGTGTTCTTATTAGAAGAGATCAGGACCCAGACAAACACAAAGGGAAGGCCATGCAAAGACATGGGAAGAAGATCAGCCATCTACCAGCTAAGGAGCCAGGCCTGAGAAGAGATCAACCCTGTTAACAACCGGACTTTGGATTTAGAGCATCCAGAAGTGTGGGAAAATAAATTTCTGTTGTTTAAGTCACCCAGTCGATGCCATTTGTGACAGCAGCCCTAGCAAACAAGCAAAGAAGTCTATTCTGGGTGGTGATCCACATGCTGAACAGGGGCTTCAAGCCTCCTTTTCTCACTTGAGTCCCAGAATGCTCACTGCTCTGCTTCTCTTTCCTACTGAACAGTATCTTCTTTTTCTAAGCACACTGAAATCAGTCATTTCATGTAGGGAACAAATTCATTACTCCAGTATTCCTCAAACAGGGGCAGGGGTGGGTGGGACCTATACATATTCTTGGTGATCTAGGAATTATCTCAGAATTTTTTAAATTGTATTTTCATTTGGAAAACCACCTACAACCCAGTACTGCCAAGATTTAAGTGCTTCATTTGGTTTCCAACACCTCTGGAGCCTCTCAGTGCCACTTCACTACACCTGGTCTCTAATAATAAGCACAGAAGTGCCAAAGAAACTGTAAATGATATCATGATGTACCACATGACTAATGAAAGTTTTCCAAAGTTCAAACAGGAAAGTGAGGAATTTCACTGCAGAGCAGAATGGACTTGCCAAACTACCAAGAACTTGTGTCATCAATGGGATTTACATTCAAGTTGCAAATGTCAATTTAGTTACAAAAAAATGTTATGTTAAACTAAATTACGTAACTAAATTATTGATCTTTAGAATGTCATGTATTTTGTTATTCTGTTTTCCTCTTTAACTTTATTTCCTAAGACATACAGGTCTAAGAAGTTTATATTTAGTTGTAACACTGAAAGATAAATTAATCAATATTGAAATTCATGCAAATTTTTTTCCTTGGAAAGAGATGCAAAAAATTTGTCACGACTGAGAATTCCTGCCTTATACAAGATTATTAAATGCTAAGCAAATGTCTTACTTTACGAAATCCAAGTTTCCATGGCTGTGTACCTAAAATCTCTTCTATCTTTTCCAACACCTCTTCAGAATCTGAGCTTATGAGCCGTTTAAAGTGTCGAGGCAGAAGAACTGGAAGGAATTCCACTATTTTTGGAAACCGCAAAGCTCTCATTACAGTTATAAATGGCACTACAGGATATCACAAAAGAACAAATCAAGACATAAAAATGAACTCACAGAATAAGTATTTGATGGACTTTCTCATTTAGTACAGTTTAAGTAATCCAAATCAAAGAGGGTAATAGAAAGTAATAAATTTACTTTAACCAACAAGAAAATTGATCATATTATAACAACTACTTTTGTACCAAGATGGTTTTCATCATGTTTAACACCAAAAATTAATGTTCTTCAAATGCTTAGGTAACTAATTCTTAGTCTTTTGTTTTCTTTTGCTTGAAATACAATCAGAATAAAATTTGACTCAATGATAGAATTTAAAGCTAGACATTAAAAGTTATTTACATATTAATCTGTATTATCACTTTTCTTACTGTAATCATGATTCTTTCGTCACTGAAGTCAATGAAGTACTGTCAAATTCATTTGACAGAATTAAGAAATTGAAATATCCCATTTATGTGAACGTGAGCATCCAGATAACAAATCATAATTAAAAGTTATTTGAACTATTCTGAACTGAAATCTTTCCAAAATGGATCACTCGTATTCATGCCTTTCTTCCTTGCCTTCTCAAACAGAATAACCCGCAATTGAATTTTTTCTTAGTGACTTGAGGTAATCCAATGGATGGAGAAGTTAGAGAGCAAGCTAGAATCACACTTTTAGAGCTGGAAAGGAATGGAAAGGTGTTCACAGATCATCTCACCCAACCTCTTCAAGTTACAGGTGAGGAACCTGCGATGTCAATGACATCCTCCAAAGGCAGTATCAACACATTTTATCAAACTGATTTAAAAACGGAAAATGAGGACAAGCTACTACAGTAGTATTATCTTAAACACACTAGTCATTAAGTATCTCAGTCACACCAAAACTCGATGATAAAAATCACTTACGTGTGTTTTCCAGAGGAAAGGGCATCGTGTAACCTGGTGGTGACACTTCCTGTGTTTTCTGTGTAGGTTGTTTTTGACCATTCATTCCAATTTCCTTCTGGAAAGTTCTTAATATTTCCCTAAGATTTTCAAACTTGAGGTCCTTAAGGCTTGATCCATCATTTACCCATGCTAAAAATTTAATTCTGTTATCAGCGGGTACATTACAGTCTTTAAGAAAGAGGGAACAGATCTGTATTTGATTTGGCGGTGACATGTCAGACTGTAAAAAGTAAGACGGAAATCCTTGAACCTGATAGCTCCTTGATCCTACAGGTGTCACCTGAACCTTCACTCGCCACCAAGCACCCGTTAGCGGAAAACGTCCAAATACTTTACATGGCTCTTTAGTGTTTTCATCAAAAATTGAAACTTAAAAAAAAAAAAAAGAAAAGTTTAATTTAGGATAATTTAAAGCCTCTTTCCCAACACTTTATCAAATTCACCATTCTTTAATCCCCAGACAGCACCCCATACAGATGTTTATTAGGATCCCTATATTCCACTTGTCTGTTGATCTGTCGTCTCCTACTACACTGTAAACTCTCTCAAATAAGATAATGTTTCATTTGTCTTTGTATTCCAGGAGGTGAGCATGGTATATGCCTAAGGTCTGCTGTTCCTCTTCTGAAAGCAGTCCTCTCTCTGCTACTCTGATCTCAGCCAATAGAAACCACCTGGGAACTTTCATGTGGTTTCCAAAAAGTGCCATGGTCCCTCTGATCACAGGGCCTTTGTGTAAGCTGTTCTGCCTGCCTTAAATATATTTTCCTTACTGTCTACCCCATTTACTACAGACCTCAGCTTAATTGTCACTTCCTCAGGAAAGCTTTCCCTGAATCTCATGAATATATCCTCTCTTAGCACGACTTACTATTCCTTCTAGCACTAAGTAATATTATAGTTACTTGTATAATTACTTACAGAATGTCTGTTTTAATTCATAGAGCGTAAGCTCCATTAACACAGCAACTTCAGCATCTAATCTCTGCAGGGTATCCCAGCAACACATACCTTGCTTGGAACATGGTAGCCAGTCACTAACACTTTTAGGGTAAATAATGAAACCCTCCACAAACATTTGAAAATTTTCTGTTTAATACTGTGCTGGCCATTCACATATGACTATTTAAATTTAAATTAATTAAAATTAAAATTTTTAATTTGGCTCCTCAGATGCACCAGCCACATTTCCAGTCTTCAAAAGCCGCACATGGCTAGCAGCTATTGTAGCAGACAGTGCAAATACAGAACAAGCCATCACAGAAAATTCTACTGGACAGCACTGGTCTGAACAAACATTCTTAAATATCAGGCACAAGCTACACATAATAGGTATAATTCATAGCACAGGAAACTTTAAAAGGTAAACAGGGATCACAAAGTTGATGAATCAACAGTGCCTTGAAGTATTTCTCATGCGTGAATGTGTTAGTAACCAAAAAATCATCACATATTCGACTCCGGGAAAGACAAGGCAATAGTTAAAAGCCGATTCTGGGTGTGAATACTGGCTGCACATCGATTGTTTCCTCGACTATAAAACTATCTCAAAAAGCTATGAACTTTAAATGAGATACACGTGGAGCACAAGCTTAACATACAGTATGTGCTCAAGTCGCTGCTATTACTGCTATTGTTGTTACTATTTTATTCTAAACAGGAACAAACCTCTGTGTCATCTCAAAGGAACTCTTGTTTGCAGCGACGAGGCGCCTGCCTTGCTTAGGACGAGGTCTTTAAAGGAAACCACACATTTCCAACTCCACCCCCCTCCCCGGGGGGCAGAGGTGCTTTCTCACCGCGGAGCCGCCCGGGGAGGCTGCCAGCCTTTATGGCCCCACTGCAGAGCTCCTCGGCGTCCACAAACACAGCGTCTTCATCCTCCTCCACATCCTCCGGCAGATAATCATCTTCCGCCTCCACCACGTCCTTGGGTGGGAGCAGAGGTCCCAGTAGCTCGCGCAAGGGCTGACTAAGAGAAGCCATACTCAAGTCTCCTGAGTTCAACCCGAATTCCGGAAAACCCGGGAGGCGTAGACGGTCAGGATCAGCCAATCAGCTCCGAGACTCTAAGACCTTCAGCTTCCAGAAGGGTGGGCGAAATCGGTGAAGAGGGTTAACTGTAGGGGAATGGATGGGAACTAGGCTTGTGGTGGTGATCACGCTCTTGTGTACACAGATGCTGAACTAGAACGCTGTGCACTTAAAACGTTTTTTTTGTTTCGTTTCGTTTTTAAGTAAAAAAAGACCGTCAGCCTTCCTGAATGCCTCCCGAAACGCCTCCCCTCCCCGCAGCCGGCGTGCACGGAAAGGAGGGGCGGCGGCGAAGCCCCGCCCCAAGTCTCCAGAGGAGGACGGGGATAGGTCGAGGCGGGACAGGATGAGGGCGATGGGCGGGCCATAGGAGGACACTGCCTCCCGCCTCCGCCCCGCAGCCCTACTCCAAGCTTCGCCAGGTGCCTGGAGCAAACTAGGTAACTGGGCAGCAGCAGAAGTGGCACCTGCAGAATCGCCAACACAAGGCGTCTCCTGCGTAGAAAGAAACGCGGGGGAAGGCCCATCCAATGTGCTGGGGAAAGCAAGCCCTCCCCGGCACCTCCAAAACGACAATCCAAATGCCCTTTGGCTACCACCCAAAGCACAGAATCGCGAATCTCCAATCCGGACACCCACCAAGTCGTGACTGCTTTGGGCCTCTCTGTTCTTCAGGAGTTCAATTTATATGATCAAAGGCACTTTATCCCAAGTACAGCTCTCTAGGCCCCATTCCATACCCACTGTAGGGGGATCTAGGGCAGGGACCCAGGATTCTTTCTGATGCATGTCCCAAGTTGTCCATTTTGATGCGCAGCCAGGGTTGGAAAGCGCTGGATTAGATGACATTCAAAGCCCTCTCCATCATTTGCTCTGTGTACTCACAAACTTCTTTAAGCCGGACTGCTGCCTGCTCACAAGCCGGGCAAAAAAGCACATCCACTTACAGCCCAGGGTATAGATGCGAATGGGGGAAGGCCAGTAGGAGAGAGGACAGTGGTTTACAAAGTTATTCTGGACCATGGTTCTCGTACTTGATGGGGAAACTGAAAGTCATGGTACTTTTTGAAGAACACCATAAAATATATTACTACATTACTACTTTGACACTATTTATTATGAAATTACTCAATACTAAACCTAAAATAACTAAGCATAGGCTGTTTGCTAAATCCAAAAGCATCTTATTCTAGAGTCTAACATAGAATAAACAGCCACCACCAAAGTTTTTTTTTTTAACTTATAGGAGAAAATACTAAAATTAATTTTTTCCTTTAGGAATAAATGTTGACTTTCACTGCTTTTAGAAGTACTCTGGGAGATTCCTCAAAAGACTAGGAATAGATTTACCATATGACCCAGGAATCCCACTCCTGGGCTTATATCCAGAAGGAACCCTACTTCAGGATGACACCTGCACCCCAATGTTCATAGCAGCACTATTTACAATAGCCAAGACATGGAGACAGCCTAAATGTCCATCAACGGATGACTGGATAAAGAAGCTGTGGTATATTTATACAATGGAATACTATTCAGCCATAAAAACTAACAACATAACGCCACTTGCAGCAACAGGGATGTCCCTGGAGAATACCATTCTAAGTGAAGTAAGCCGGAAAGAGAAAGAAAAACACATGAGATTGCTCATATGTGGAATCTAAAACACAA